TTCTACGCACAAAATGTTCGTCTTCCAGCCTAATTCTTTGATTGGCGTCAAATTTGCCCTTGCACGGCTGAGGATGGTGCTGTTCAACCTCATTCTATTGGTCGGAGTCAAAGCCCATGGGGATATTGCTCTAAGCCAAGTCTCCTCCGAGGAGACACACCAGCCTCATCGTGTCACATTTGAATTGGCGGAATTCGAACAGGTCAGGCAGATGTTGAGATTCATATAGATTCATACAACAGATATATAACAGATATACAACAGATATCAACAGATGCAATTCTGAGTCAAGGATGGAGTTGTGCTGGCAGTAGGGACGCATAATATCGTGTCACCCTAGGCAGGACGCCCTGGCCGACCTGGCTATTTTTTTAAAGGAAAAAACACCATTTGGAATGAACTGTACTCGTAGGAGTGTAGGACTGTTGGCCGTTGAGCCCTGTAGGACTGGATCGGCTCTCAGTGGCTTGGCTAGATTTCAACCTCAAGAAGTGCACTGATTCAATGCCAAATTGAAAAGGCAGTTTCACATAGTTTCACATAGTTTCACTTCCTTCAACGGAGGCGACCTCTTCTAGATATACACAAACGACGCAAACCCAATCCCAGTTGCAGCTGAACATTGCTGGCATTGTGAGTCTGTAGAGCGGCATTTGACACTGTGGCTCGCTGAGGGGCCACATCCCCAAGCGACCTGCACGAGGGATTCAGTCCAAAACCTCAATGCGACATCGAGGCAGACCATGCAGACCACCAAGCAGACATGTTTTGGCCGGAGCTATGCTGGAAGTTATTGCCATCTATTGCGATGCCACCGTTCTACAACGATCTACTCAAGCAAAAACCTATCTATACATTGGAATTCTAGGGAATGCACGGGAATGATGTTACGGAAAAAACCGACAGTGGACATCAGTGGACTAATTACATAGGTAGGAGAGAGAGAGAGAGAGAGACAGAGAAATATAAGAAATGCATAGAAATGCAGGTGCGCTTCTTTTTTGCACAAATGTGCGAGAAACTTTTGGACCATTGATGCGGCGAGGCTATCCAAGACAGGCTCAGAAGCTTGCAGGCTTTGAGATAGGGTGAACGAGGGACCGATGGGGGAGCCCACATCAACACTGGATACATAGATATACAATGATATACAATGCATTATATATGTAATATATATATATAATATATAATTACTATAATTGATTATAATTAATATTAATTATATATATAATATATTACAGTTATTTATTTATGTACATAGCATCGTCACATATGTTCACTATCTGAAAATGTCTAAAACCTGAAAGCGATCAACAGTGCAACGCTCTGGCCCAAGAGGTGGTTAGGACATGTTAGGACATTTTTGAAGGGATTTGTGATGATTTTCACCAGCATCAGTTTCTTGCGCAGGGGCTGATGAAGATGAGGATGATGGAGCAGCTGGTGCCATCGATTGCATTTTGGGCTTGTGCTGCTGATGCCGACCGCATTGATACTGCATGATACTGCATCCTAGACATGCAGAAGTCATCCTTCGCATGATTTGCTTGCACATTTTCTGACGAGGACCTGAGACACAACCCTTTGGCTCCTATGATGCTTCGTGGAATCCCACCATATACAGCACCTTTCTCTGCAGTAGACTTTCCAGCGTTCTGGCATCAGAAACTTCTCGTACTTCATCAGTTGTTATCAATGATTTGGAATTATGATGACTTATGTAGTGGTATGAATCATACGCCGCGTTGGACGAAGAAAGCATAGGAGCCGCTATTTGGCTGTGCTATGCTTCAGGATGCTGTGCTCATTAACTATATTGCTTTCAAAATCTTTCAAACCTTGCCTGAATAATTTGAATTGTAATTCCCATGAATTCCCATGTAGCAATTCTATGCAATTCTCATCCGTTACTATTTAATAATTTAATAGCTATACAGCATATAGCTACTACTTCCAGGCGCTTTGAAGTATTCCATTGCGGGGACCTCAGGGCTCCGGGCTCCAGGGACCGAAATGTTTCTTTTGAAGCTTGACGCTATGCTGCTCTTGCATTTGTTCAGTCAGATGTTCTTCATGTTCTTGGCCTTCTTGGCTTGATTTGGCTTCGTATCAACTTTTCAGCAAGTCCTCGCTCAAGGTGCGTATCAGCACAGTTGACAGAGGTTTGGACATGGACAAGCCGTACCAGGATTGTCTTGGGTAGTGCAGCGTAAAGGAAACAACAACAACAACTGTGACTCCAACAAAACGTCTTTGTGCAGCCTGCGTAAAATCTGAAATCTGAAGTGGATGAAACATACAGTGCCACTATTCCACTATAGGGTCCAGTTTAAACTTCCAATATTAAAGACCCAGCCCAAAGACGACACTGACTAAGTCGATCATCCAGGACGCTCCAATTCAAGAATCCGTTGGCAGTGGCTTTTTGGCAACTCAGCTGAACAATGGCCGTGATATGTCGCGATGATCGTCATGGCAAAACTATGCAAAATTATTGTGCAGAATGTCAATCAAGCAATGAAGCAATGATTCGCAGACAAGTCCTGGAAAGAGTTAGCGTGCAGAAAGTAAGAGAGGCATAGAAAAGGACAAGACAACAGAATCTTCTCAGAAGTTGGTCACTGGTCATGGATCCAGTCCGCTGCTCAGGTCGACGACAATATGACGATGCAAACTGGAGCCCAATTGCCACCACCCACCTCTACTTATGGTGTCAGCATGGTATGTTGGGCCAACGATTTGTTATGTTTTTTTAATGTTGACTGCTTGAAATTTGCTGGAACATGCTTGAACTGAATTCTCCCCACGATAGACGCTCTTTACATTCACAGGGCTGACCAGCTTTGAGACACTAATTCCATGAATATATTGTCAGCTACAGAGAGCTGCACAGAGAGAAACTGCGAGTATGGTTTCTGCACACCAATTGTTGAGGGTTGTGTGTTGATGATTACCAGCGCACGGGTCACTCCTGTTCATATAGTGTCGTGAGATGTAACTCCCTGATACAGCGCGCAGGAGATGACTATACGAGACTCGCCAGAAGGCCAATTTGGGCCATTTGTAAGACAGGCTTAGCAAACAGATACCAGACAGGCAGCACTATGCAGCATTCTAATATTTTCTATTTAGATTTGTGAGCAGTAATGCTGGTAATCATATCAAAAAATATACATGCAATACCAAAAACATTAAAAACTATAGTATTTATATATAAGCCGTCCTTGTTCCATTCGCATCCATTTGCTGTCAACCTTCTCAAGTTCAGGAGACAGAGAACCCCGCTTCTTTGGAGACATTTGGAGACCCAAAGGGCATCAACATGCATCCCGTTAGTGTCATGAGTGTACTCGTATGTATGTCCGCATAGGGGTTGCTGCAATAAAATGCGAGCAGCGGACAAGCGTAGGGCTGTGCACGAGATCTTGCATCAATCATACGTACTTCTACATTTTCTACATTCTGTGGTGTGCCAAGTTTGTTTTGGACCAAGGATTGTCACCAATGCCCACGTCGTGCGAGGTTCAGAGAAGGCCATCATCAGACTGGCACTGTACCGTAAAGAAATGAAACAAAGCCAGGCACATGCTTCAAGATAATTATCTTTTGCCAGAATTACGATTCCATATGATTCCAAAACGGCAACTTGGATTAGGACAACACTTGGAAATATATTGGAAATCTATGTTATAGTGAGAATATTTATTTGAGATTAGGACGACCCGGGTCATTTGGAGCATTTTGGAGCGAAAGTCAAGGTTTGACACTCGCAGATGTTCAGGTGCGCGTTCAGTTCCCATCGCTCGGGAGACACCTGTTCGTGCTGTCCTCAGTTCCAAATCCATGCCTTGCCTTGCCCACCTTTCATTGGAACCTGGGCATGGAGGGCTAAAATGACACTCATGAAAATCCATGAAAATCAATTTGAAGCATTGTCAAACTCGATCCTGAGGATGCCACCGTCCCGATGATTTGCTTCCAGTTCGATCTTGCGATGCTTAGTGCTGAAGTAGCACATCTCCCATGGCACATATCCAGTGGGACACAAATGTGGCATGAAAGTAGCATGAAGACAAATGCGGACTTTCCAAAATCCATTTGCAGCAGCATGTCTGAGACCTGTCCGACTTGCCACGCTGCATGTAGCAACCATGGTCAAGCTGCATCACCAAGACATGCCTAGACTGGTGGGTCTCAGGATTGTGAAGTTGAAGGACCCGCAGGAATTGAAAGATAAACTGAAAAAAGCAGAGGTCACACTCTCCCTGCCTCTTGTTTGCACCTCTTATGTGCAGGCATTTGCATGTGGGTGTGGCTTTATGCTTGCCAGCTTTTTCAAGTCAGCACTCTGAAGCGTCGAAACCAACCCAGCCACGTGAGTGACATCCCAGGCTGAAGCTGCAAGCTCGAAACGTGAAGATGGGTATGCGAGTGGCAGCCTTGGGATTTCCACTAGGCTGGTGATGGGATGGTCAAAATGACGAAGCAACAATAAGGGGACGGGAGGCCACGGAACATGTAAGGGGGCAGAAGGAGATGGTCCATTTAGGTTCCAGATGGTTCCAGAAAATGAAAACATTGACGTCTAGCACAGCTCTTGAAACACTTGACCTCCAAGACTGCCAGGAAGCCAGTGGTTGAAATTAAGCGAAGGTGTGGTGTCTGGGGCAGAAGCCCAGTCCTGAGTAGTAGCAATCAGAGGAATGAAATGTAGATGCTACAAGTTCATACAAGTTCTGGATGCTCTGATTGCCCACTGCTAGGGGGAATGAATTGCAAATGAGGTTGTCGAAGACAACATGGTGTACCAGAGCACGGCACCCATCAGTCCTGGCAACAGTGGAGGTGCTGGACAATTGACAGAAACATTTGCTTTTGGTATGGGATCGCGCTCTCTCTCGCTCTCTCTCTCTCTCTCTCTTATTTGCTTTTCTTTCATACCATGCAACTGACACAGCCCATGCATCGCTCATACATAGACCATACATAGCCCAAACGAGATGAGAGAGCACATTGCCATCGGTGCAGGCCCCTTGCTTGTCTTTCGCAGTGACAGCCTGATACGTTCGGCAGATGAGGCCAAGTGGTGCTGGTAGCGGGACAGTTTCCTGCATTCCAGCTGAAAGTACAAGCGACATCAAGCGACATGATGGACATGCTGCTTGTTCCTGGTTGCAACAAAACCCTGTCCCAATCCAGTCCCATTGGTCAGATTGTTAAGGGTCGATCCAAGCCGATCTTGGACACAGTGGTGGGAGTGAACTTCGCCTCATCGGCCTCCAAGTCAGCTCAGAATTTGAACTACGCAGCCAGAAACTCAGAACATCCAGATATCCGGAAAATCTCTGTCATATTCTCTCATGGGCTGTTCAGCTGTTCGTCCATCATTCAGATTATTCCGAGTCGTTTCCATAGTAAGAAGATCAAGGAACAAAAGATCCAACAAGTGCATCCTGTTACGTGAGAAGTCATTGCATCCTGATAGCGTGAACGATGCTCAGGTTCCTGCGTTTCGCATCGTTCAAGTCCTCGCAGACACTCAGCAAAACCCAAGAGCCGTTTGAATGGGATCAACGGAGAGATTGATGGTTGGCACAGAGAGTTGCAAAAGTCATGCCTAGATTAGTTTGAATTGTTGAAAATAGCTTCGGAGCACTTGATTTTGAAAAGTCGTGCCTTTTTGTGAAACGCATAGGAAATGCATGATTTTCTGGTTTTCATGATCGGATCTATGATTCTATAATATATAAATCCTGCATTCAGTTGGTGTTCAGCATGTTGGGCAAAGACTTCACATCTGAGTTGCTTAAGACTTGGTCGTTGCATTTAGTTGGTGTTTTGATGTTGGGCAAAGATTTCACATCTGACTTACTTAAGACTTGGTCGTTGCATTTAGTTGGTGTTTTGATGTATATGTTTGGATATGGATATATATATATATATGTATATATATATATATATTTATGTATAATTATGTATATATGTATATATATATATATATATTTGTGCGTGTGTTTGGTATTGATTGGTATCAAATACAAAAACCAATGTGTCCCAACCAGTCTTGGCAGGGAAAGATTTTAGTTTGGTAATTTTTGCATGAATGGTCCTGTACTCGTATGTGGGGTCTTGTAGTCTTTAACATTTTTTTAAAACAAGGTTCAGAATAGATGGTGTAACAATGTGCCATATTCCTTAGCCTCACTGGGTCGTTTGCTGACGCGGCCTTTGCGGCAAGGCATATGCAAAAATGAGTCACTTGATAGCATTCAGATTAGCTGTTTTCCCTGAGTGTCTCCTCGTGAGACTTTTTTCATCACAGGTCCACAATGATCTTCTTTTACATGTTCTCATTCCAGATCTCTATTCCAGGGTGGTTGGTGCAAGAATCCATTCCAAACCCCACAAAAGGACGAACGTGTGAGTGTTGTCATTGTGAGATATTGTGAAAATGTGCTGGTTGTTAGAGGATGTTAGAGATAGCGCTAGTAACTCAATTGGATTGACATGGATTGACCCTGTTTGAGGCCGGAATGATTCCAAAGGCGATGATTTGGATCAGTTTGGCCGTGGGACCAGGCAGGGTCGGGTCACTTTCTTTGCGTTTCACATCGTTTCACTACGGGTGTGGATATGTTTAAGCAGCTACGTATGCACTGCACTGTGATGTAATGTAACGTATATTATTATATCACCCACCCCTAAAAATGTATTTTAGGGGGGGGAGAGGTCAGGTAAAAAAAATACATTTACCGTTCTCCAAGAATTTGATTCCCCAGGACCCCCCCTAAATACATTATTTGACCGGTGGGTGTACGTTAAATGTAGGATCCATGGGTCGGGATATCCAACCCCCCCCAGGATCTTTTATTTTGGGGGGGTGGTTTAATATATTTTACGGGTTTGGTTTTTCCAGGATCCCCGGGAATGTTTAATTTTTTTCTGGGGAATACCCTTCTTTGAAAAATGTATTCTAAGGGGGTTGGGTTGCCGAAAAGCACATCATTTTTGGAAATGGAGGGAATAGATCTGGCTAAGGTAGTCATTGGTACCCCCTGCAATGCATACATTTCAGAAAATAGTGTCATGTCTTCGGAGTGGGAGCGATGCGTCCTTGATCGTGTTTGCATATGTTTGCATGCGTTTGTTTCCAAAAAAAATCCAAAAGCGTAAGCTAACGGGGTCTTCAGCGCAGAATATTTTCGGTGACCCCAGGTATTCCCAGGTTTCCCCATAAGTTTCAGTAGGTTTCCCAGGAAAAAAAAAGATCAATTGGATTGAGGTGCAGACCCCCCCAAGCTTGCATACATTTAGAAAAGTTTATGTATCCATTGGCTCTTGTCAGTGGTGCCCCCCACAAAGCATACATTTTCAGGTTCAATACCCCTACCAATAATACATTTCCAGCATCTGGCACTCATACATGCCTCATTTTGAGGGGTTACCCCCCCCCTAGTTCCCATACATTTTTGGCAAAAAGTGAGGGGGTTAACCCCCCCCTTATGTTCATACATTATCAGAAATGTAGGATCCACCCCCCCTACTCCTGAACCAGTTGGGGTCGGGGATATTATTATGTAATGCAACTGCAAACGTAAATGTAAATTGACATGTAATGTAATGTAATCATATGTATGCCAGGTGTGCGAGCAAACACATGTGCCCAGCACAATCGAGCACGAAGATGCATTGCTGTTTTCTCATCTTCCCTCCAGCAGAAGCGAATGACATAAACCCAATCCTTGTCATGGGGACGTCGCAAAACGTGAGGCATTAGGTGTCACCTTGCAGATAAGTCTTCTGGACGCAGGCAGCATATGGAGTTCCGCATTGCCCCAGTTGGTGTCGTCTACACACAAGCAACGCAGGCTTCATAAATGTGGCAGCTGAGAGATGTTCTGGTTGCTAGAAAAAGTGCTCTTCTCAACATGTTTTGTTGATTTTGTTGTTTCAAGAAAGGGATTAGGGTCTTGTAATTGACTGTTCCAGTTGTTTGATGCATTGGGGTGGGTTTGTACTCGGGAGGTTGGAAGTTCAAAAAAAGGAGCCTCCTCACTTTTGCAAAAAATAATGCAGTACTCAAATGCCAATATGTTGCTTTTGTGAGTGGTTTTTCATGCCGCTGATTTTCGGACAAAGATCAAACATTGATGCAGGATCTTTCTTACAAGAGCGCGTTGATTTCCAATATGTTAATTGGCGGACGGGTTTCTAAAGCATTGATCATGGTGATCTATATTGAAGATGTTCAGGCCCATTTGCGCAGAAGCGGCTGTCGAAGTGGCGTGCCATTGGATCCAGGGCTGAATTTATTGTCGGCGTTGAACCGTTTGCAATCGCATGACATCACACGCTTGACTCCGATTTCCTGTTTGGAGAATGATTCCCATGGAGCAAAAGTGCAAGTGCAGTTGCGAGGATCGCTTCATGCCGTTTTCTCTTTTTCGCTGGGCAGAACCTCCCATTGCCCTTGGAAGTTTTTTGATGACCGTGGTGCCGTGGCACAAAGATGCAGAAAGATCACAAAGGCATTCCGCCAGGCAGCAAAACAACAGACGCAAATAACATCATCAAAGAACTGCGTTTAGAAAGTTTATCTGCATTTCTTTGAGGAACTCTGAGTTAAGTATTTGATGACAGTAGAGTCCAAGAGGGAGAGAGAGAGAGAGAGAGGGGTATTTTGCTCAGGCAGGTGTGGAAGTGGCAGGAGGGGAGATAATGCTAAATGCCCATCAGCTTTCAAATGGATCATGGATTTTCCGAATTTTTGAATGGCAGATGGAAGCATGGTGGCTGTTTTACATCTTGCCTCAGGGATTCGAAACGCCGAAAATAGAAAGAACATGAAGGAACACTTGCCAATCATAGCAGTTTGGTTGGCTTAATATAGTTTAATAGTAATACAGCAGCGATCAAATGATGTGCAGCCTTGCTTTGAGGACGACACTGAGCTGGACACCTTTGGCATGGGAAAAAGAATCTTAGCAAAAGACTTGGGATTGTTTACTGTAGGTGTTACACCCCTGATGCGGCTTCTCATGTCATATTGTTGTTCATTATGATTGTTCATGCATGCACAGATGGCGATATATATATATACAGTGATATTCTGGTGTTGGTGAACTGCCGGACCTCGTCCTTCGGCAAGAAGTTCTGACCCTCCTGAAGCTTGAAGTTCTCTTAAGTTTCCGGAATGCTTGTTCAGGGTCATTTCGACACCATGACACAATGGACCAAGGATTCGATTTCATGCAGCAGTACGTGAGTTTCAAGGATCTTTTGACGTTCAGGTCCAATCTTGACAGCGATGTTTCTGTGATGACATGCAGCCCGGCAGGTGTTTATGAAATTTGATGACTATTTATTTCGGTGGATAGCTTTACAGTACCCCCTGAGCTGCTGGCATCTAAATCTATTCTTCAGTCGGTGGGAACCTCTTGCCAGTGGATTCTAAATTTAAATTCTAACTTTCTTGGAGTTCGTGATGAGAAGCCAGCAACGACTGTTCATGGTCAAGATTAGAGAATGGTTTGCCATATGGTTACGGCGTGTTACGGTGGTCTGGAGGTGGAGAATCCAGAATGTGGTGGGCGTGTTTGGTGAGTGTCACTAAAATAGTCCGACGGCCCCTGCTTGATAAGGTATGGATGGTCAGCAGACCAAGCACCGTCTCAGCTTGATCCGTGGCCTGCTCAATTTTTTTAAACTTATTATGTCCTGTCAAGGAATAGGAGTGTGCAGAAGACACTTGGGTACGGCTTACCCTGTGGAGGCTAGTAATTTATGAACCCCGTTCCTTTGAGCATCGCCAGCCCTCTGCTAGATATAGATGGGTGGGTTGACTCCCTTTTTCTACCTTTGTTGCTCAAGACAGAACTCACATAGCTGTCTTAGGTTGGCCGCGAAGGCACATTGCAAGCTTGGTTCATTGATGTCAGGAAGTGGAATAGCAGCAGATTTGAGGGAGGTGTTCGCTACCTCTACGAGCCGAATTTTGATGCGACAGCCAAGGACTATGAGTCCTGCCTGCAGAATGGCATGCAATGTGGTTCTTCAATGTTGTTCAATTGTTTCTATCCTGAGCTCGAGTCTTCCATTGCAATTTTTGTCGCAGCATCAACAAGTACAATTACATACCATACAGTATAGTACTGCACAAGGCGGTGGCGGAAGTTTCAAAAATAGGTAACCTATAGGAGAGATGAATGAATTCCTGTGTTCTCCGTCCTGCTCCCGACCCTCATCGCTTCCTGTCCTCATGCGCCAGTGCTTGCTGCTCGCGTGCCCCGGCTCTCAAGTTTCAGGACCCGGCTGCCCTCAAAGAATTATGTCAGGCGCGCTCTGTCACATCTGACCCTGCCCCGCGCCGCCAGCTTTCTCTGGATATCTATCGGTTGCGTGCCCTTGAGCGCCAGCAGTGGAAAGCCGCACTTCTTGATTCTGCTGCCAAAGGTGACTGGGGGGCCCGCCAGCTGCTCCAGCGCCGCGTGACTCACAGTTTGTCTCGTACGGCTGCTGCCACTCATGTGAAAGAACACTTTGACCAACGCTTCCAGGACGTCTCTGAAGCTCCCGTTTGCTTTGAGGGGGTGGATGATTTGGATGACTTGGAACCTGAAATCTGAAGCGGAAATTGTTGCGGGGGTGCGCAAGTTGAAATCGAATAAGACCACTGGCCCTTCCAGGGTAAGTGCTGCACTCCTAGCCGCCTTTCTTGAGTTGCCCTATGGTTTGCATGCGTTGTCCGTCATGTTGAATTTCATTTTGCGTGCGCCTGAACAAGCCAATACTGAGTTGGCCTCTGGCTGGGTCTTCCTGGTGCCCAAGAAAGCCTGTGTGGACGATGCTGCTCACTTCCGCCCCATTGTGTGTGGTGAAGTCTATCTCAAACTTGCCGCCCGCTTGGCCACTGCTAGACTGGTTGCCACATGGTGTGTGCCTTCTTCCTGTTTTGGCTCTGTCCCTGGACATGGTCTTCGGAAGCATTGTGCATCCTGCGGCATGCTGCACAAACCAGCGCGCTCTTTGCGGATGATACCTTGTTTGTTCAACTTGGCCTTTCCAGCATTCGATTCCTTGCACATCAACGCTCTCCTGCAGTTCTTTGTTCAAAACTGGCCTGGCTTGTTTGCCAAAAGTGCGTCCCTTCTTCGGTGGGCTCTACTCCATTCGGACTTGCGCTTTGAGATTTTTGATGTTGTTTGGTGGTGCTGCACAAGCGGGGCACACAACAAGGTGGACCTCATAGCCCTACCCTCTTCAGTCGGGTAGTTGCTCGTTTTGACGCTCTTGCTCTTGAGTGGTGCGCCAGAGGCGAGCTTCCGGCTTTCACCGCTGGTCCGTTTTCGCTTTGGGGGATCTGGTTCATTGACGACGCCATCTTGTTGTAGTTTCGCAACGCCGCTCAATTGGCGATTAATGCCTGGTGTCGTCCAGCTCCTTGCTACCATGGGCCTTCCGCATCAACTTTGCAAAGTCTTGCGTTGTTTCCAGTTTGCTTTCTCGGGTGTCTGGTGCTTTGGCTTCCTTCCCTGTTGTGTCTTAATCCACTTACTTGTGCCTCGCCTTCCACATTGCGGAAACTGATGCTCACCTCACCTCTGCCCTCTGCAGCCGGGCCACTGCGGCCTTCTTCACCAACAGGCCTCTCCTTACAGTACTTGTCGGTTTGTGTCGCGTGGCCAGCGTTTACGCATGTTTGGCACTCTTGTCGCTGCTTCCTTGAGGCGGTCTTCATGTGTCTTGCCAGTCACCCAGTGCAACCTCCAGCGCTTGCACGTCCACCACTGCACTCTTCTGACGTGGCTCTTGGCTGGCCGGGCTCATGTCTCCTGGTTTTCAGTGGAATGCATTGGGGCTCTTCGGAATGGGGTGGAGATGTGGGCACGAGCATTTGCAGAACCATGGGGTTGTTTGCTTGCCACTATGGTGCGGCGGTGGGTTGGACATGTTCTTCGCATGGCGCCCATGAGTTTGGTCCGTCAAGTTTTGCTTTCCTTGCGCAGCAGGGTTTTCGCCGTTACAGAACTGGGCCCGATAATGGTGGTCATAGAGCTGTCCTGCGGTATTTGGCCCATAAAGGCATTTCAACAGACGAAGCTCACAACCGCACTCAATCACACTGCAGGGAAAGTTGACGGCCTCCTACCAATGTGTTTTGCGATTGTTCCATTCCATCTGTCTAAAGTATTGCGGCTGCCACGAAAAAGTGAAGCCGGGTCATACGAAGTGCTGACGCAAAATCATCTTAGCAAACGTGAAGATCTGATGCTCCAAAATGCAACCCTTCTCAGGAAACCAGTGTCCTGACCCCTAACATCTCTGATGAACATGTCTCTTGCACTGCGCCTGCCACGCGAAATGCATCTTTGCAGATCCTCTTCAAATGTCCCACGCCTGCCATTGTTTTTTGGAAATGCTACAAAACCTTTACGTTTTGCTCACTTTTGACAAGGTGCACAATCCCCTGCGCCTGCCATGCCAAACGACATCTGAACGTCCAAAAGTGGTAAGTGGTCGGGGGCCGTCAGTTTTTAACACTGTTGATTTCGAAATCTGCTTCGCGCCACAACGGCGTGCACTTTTTCATCATCTCAACTTCCAAGGGCGCTCCGAGAATGGTGTGTTTTGTACGTTTTGACTTTGAAATGTGCTTCGCGCCACAAGGGCGGGCAATTTTTCATCTCTCATCTCCCCAGATGGCTCCGCACCCGCCGCTTTAGCGAGCCTACTTTTCGACCCTCCGGAGCCACGAATCATTGGAAAAACCTAATGCGTCGCGACTTTGCTACCTTTTCGCGCACCTGCATCGTTTGTCTTCTGACTCTTTCTCTTCTTTGATCTTCTTTCTCTGATCTCTTTTCTCTGATCTTCTGTCTTCTTTCTCTGATCTTTTGTCTTCTTTCTCTGATCTTCTGTCTTCTTTCTCTGATCTTCTTTCTCTGATCTTCTTTCTCTGATCTTCTTTCTCTGATCTTCTTTCTCTGATCTTCTTTCTCTGATCTTCTTTCTCTGATCTTCTTTCTCTGATCTTCTGTCTCTGATCTTCTTTCTCTGATCTTCTTTCTCTGATCTTTTTCTCTGGTCTTCTTTCTCTGATCTTCTTTCTCTGATCTTCTGTCTTCTCTTCTCTTCTCTTCTCTTCTCTGACTCTTCCACCTCTGCTTTTTAATTATTTGTCCATATTGTCGGAAGTCTGACTTCTAAACTTCCTTCAGCAATCACAACTAGTTACATGCAACTACATACAATTACATACAAGTACACAATGCAAGATATCACAAATTTGAATTCTAGTCGTTCTATGTCGCTCTGATGCAGAGTGGTTGTCATTTCCGTGCCCGCCCCTAGCCGCCATTGGTATGTTTCTATGACTACGGATGACTATTGACTTGACAATCTTTCAGTGTCAGTGTCTCTGCGGCTGGAAATTGCGAAGTGCATGAGGAATGGTTTGGCGGATTGACAATGGTACAGCTCACCCTCAACCACATTGATGCGAGTCTCGACCGGACCAGTGAAACCCATGCAACCCATGCGCAAAGCAATGCCAGCACCGTGCCTCGTAAGTTTGCTGGAAAAGTAATCGAATGTCATGAGCGGCGCAACCGAGGTGGATAGGCATGACTGGTGGAGAAACCCTAGGTCGATTCTACCTGGAGGAGCCTCTGCAAAAGCTCAGGTTTGCAAGCAAACAAATTGCATGAAAATTCACAGTTCAGGTGTTTCAGTTTTAAATGTGTTTTCAATATATACGACATATACAAATATTCAATATATATATAATATAAATATACAGAGATTCTATACATACACATATGTGCACATTTAGTTCTATGAGATGTGCATACGCCAATGATCTCCAACGCAAGATCGCTGCCCCAAGATGCCGCGCGGAAAGATTCCAACTCTCACAGCAACTCAACCATCATCAACCCATCTCCGCCCTGAGCAGCTAAATTTGCCGCAGGAGAACACGCAAACCCCACGTGTGGCGATCACTTCCTGCGCATCAGGTTTCAGCTGCGAGGAGATCGTCAGCACAGGGATGATTGTGCCTAGTCGCAGATGGTCGCAGACGGTCCCAATTTTTTCGGGTTTATTTTGGAACCCGCGATCTGTATCGATCTGTAGCTTCTGAACCTGCTTTACATGTTCTGTGCTCTTGGTAGTTCGGTTGGGGGTTACACAGTTCAATGACAATAATTGTAGATTCATGTGGCTTAGCAGGCAGTGTAACTCATGGGCGCACACAGTTCTCGACTCAGGTGGAAAGTGTCAACGGCCACTCTTTTGCATACAGGTATTGTACATTGACTAGGAGCCAGATTTGATGTTGGAGGATATGCTGATAATCATTGCTTTCAGCCAGGTTGTCCGGTCACTACGCTGACTGATATCCGCAAGTGCTTTGTGCCGAAGGGTGAGACATGGCAATTGGTGACTGACAGAGGTGGGAACGAGCAAAAAAAAAAGTGTATATGCCGTATATGCTTTTAAAGTTTTCATACATTGGCAAACCTGCACTCTCAGGGATTCCACCGCTGTCAAAGGTGTTGCACTCAACGTGGACTTCATGGAAGAGTTGAGTCAAGCAGTCCGCTTGGTGCGAGAGGACTGGCACTGCTCAAGTTTCACCAATGCCATGCCACACAGTGCCTGACAACGGATAATATAAGCAAGGCAAGATACTGTGCATTGCTGCGCCGCGGACCTCAGAATCACATTCTGACTATTCATGAATCCATGTTACTACAGTAGTTGCTTGTGCAGGGTGCACTCGTGATGGCTTTCCCAGGACTTGACTCTATTGAGCAAAGCTGTCCGAGATGCTGCTTTAAAACTCAGCCTCCTGGATGAGCTTGGATGTGACAAGAGTCTTGAAACATTTTGAAACACCTTGAAACTGGTGGAGCGTTGTGTATTGTCTTGGGAGGCATATTTTTTTTTGGATTTTTTTCTTTTACGTTTTTTTTTTTTGATTTCTTGTTTTATCTTGCTTTCTCCTTTTGTTTTTTTGCTTTTTTGTTTTTTTGCTTGTTTGCTTTTTTTGCTTTTTTGTTTTTTGCTTCTTTGTTTTTTTTGCTTGTTTGCTTTTTTGCTTGTTCGCTTGTTTTTGCTTTTTTGCTTCTTTGCTTTTTTTTTGTGTGTTTTTTTTTGCTCGTTTGCTTTTTTGCTTGTCTGCTTTTGTGCTTTTTTCAACAACAACAACAACAACAACAACAAAAACAACAACAACAAAAAAAAAAAAAAAAACAACCAACAAACCAACAACCACAACCAACAACCAACAACACAACAAACCAACAACAACAACAACAACCAACAACCAACAACAACAACAACCATTCAGAATTTCTGCAAACGCTTTGCGGGGGGGAGGCGTTGCGCCCTCCCCCCTGCACCCCCCCCCCCGCTTTTTTTTTTAATCAACAACTACAACAACTACAACAAGAACAACAGCAACAACAACGACAACAAACGCTTTGCGGCAGCCGCAACAGCAACAAACGGCAAACAACAAGGCAACGAGAAAACGCAAATTTTGTAACATGTAACAAAAACATAGTAACCGAACCGCAATTTCTGCGAAGCCCCCCCCACCCGCTTTTTATCAACAACGACAGCAACCACAACAACTACAACAACTAGACTACAACAACAACAACAACCACAACAACAACAGCAACAAGAATAACAACAGCAACAAGAAGAACAACAACAGCAACAACATCAACAACAACATCAACAACAACAGCAACAACAACAGCAACAACAACAACAACAACATCAACAACAACAGCAACAACAACAACAACAGCAACAACAACAACATCAACAACAACAGCAACAACAACAACAGCAACAACAACAGCAACAGCAACAACAACAGCAACAACGACGACAACAACTTTAACGACAAGAAGAACAACAACAGCAGCAACGTGCAAAATTACAGCCCAAAGCACCTAAATGTAGCAAATAGATGCACATACCATAGAAAATTCACAAGTTTTAGGTCGAAACAAATAGCAAAACGTGGCGGAAACCATGCAAAATGAAAACCAAAGCACCAAAATGTAGCAAATGCGATGGAAAATCATAAGTTTTTTACGCAGAAACCATGCGACAAACCTGCAAAACACCATACAAATCACACCAGGCACGAAACCCAAAAAAAAATCCAAAACTGTAAAAAAAAAAATCCCAAAAACAATTCTGCACCCATTGTCTTGCGTGTTTTCTGTGCATTCTGCTGGATTGCCTTTCAACCCTTGGCCAATCTTGGCCAGCCAAAGTTTGTCTTCAGCCAAGGCAACACATCATGGAAGGATGGTACATCCGGCAAAACTCAGGTTGGAGATGCAAGACACTTTAGATCACCTTTGCCGCTTGCTACTCGTAAAACAAGATCCACAAGGCAACGAGAAATTGATGGTTTGTGAGACCTCATGAATTTGCGTTGGATCCACACCGTTCAGGCAAACTCCACTGGGAATTCCACAAATTCAAATAGCTCCAATCAGACGTCGAATTCAACGTCCAATTCCACGTCGAATGGCACATCGACTCGCAGCCGCACAGAATAAGTTTTGTGGTGCGGCGCAGTGCTAGATGTGCGAGGTTGCTAGAAATTCGCGGATGGTGGTTGTGGGAATGTGTTCTATACCATGCTATACCCCTTCAAATCTTGCATGCCCAATGTTTTGGGTGCGGGACGGACCTTTAGCTTCTAGTTTCTGCCTGGCTGTGCTTAGATGTAGTGAAATACAATGACGAAGATTATGTTGGTCGGTGATCCAAGGAACGCAAACAAGATCGGCGAGCAAGCAGATGCTGAGGATTATCATGCTTTGGATGACGTGAAGGCGCCAAGTCTCCGTGTACCCCCTCACTGGGTCACACCTTTCGCTTTGCATTAGGCGGTTGCCGTGTCATTGGAAAAGCATTGGAAAAGCATATTATGAGAGAAATGTGTGTCGTTTTGCAGCCGCTGCGGTTTTGACTCAGATTTCAGACCCTCTAGGCGGTTTCAGCCCCTTAGAAATATGTCTGCCCCTTGGATTTCCTGGAAGTTGTCAATCAAGAATGATTTGCACACCAACACTCTGGTTCAGAAAAATCAAATCTAAGCATCAACAAAGTGTTGGATTGAGAGTGTTTTAGGACAGCAGGGCTTGTAGCTCAGTGAGCGGAAACGGCATCTAATAAGTAGTCAAGATAGTCAAGGACCTGGTTTCTGACTATCATTAACCAATATGATTCACGCGTCATTCATTTGTGGGTTTTCCCCTGTGACGCCAAAAGCATATATAGAACCGCATGTTTTCTATTCCAATGCGCACAAATTAGAAAAGATTAGAATATATTGGAATAATATATAGATTAGATAATGTATTATATAAAGGTGTAAGGAAATGCCCTGCAGGCACTGGATCCAAGAAGGTAAAATAGCTGAAGTAAAAAAACAATGCCAGATTCCTCAGACCAGAAGCACAAACCAGATGCAGGCTGAGATGTGAAAGCCTACGGTCCTTAAAAGAAAAGTGTGCCAGTTTTTTTCCCTGCATATTTTCTTATCCGTGAGGTGACTGTCGGCGGTAAGCACCACGAGAGGCATGCTCCAAAGATACTTGCCTCCGACTTGCCGTTCGGATTCATGGTGATCATATGTGATCATGGTGTTTGTCCCTGCATTTCGTTTTCATGTTTTTACTAGGAGTTTTGCTCGCGGTGGCTAGGCCCTAGACCATCTGTGCTTCTAGACAAAGCAAGCTGTTGATCATGATCGCACGTACAAAATGTTGGTGAGCATTGAGTGAATCGGTCAATTTCGAGTCACCTGTGTAAGAGCTGAAAGCAATCATAGTAATTAGAACAGAGACCATGTTTGAAGGAACTCTAGCAAGATCGGCGAGCAAAGCGCAGAGTCCCACTATTTCGTGGAAGGGGTGAAGGCGCCAACCCTGGGATTTTCGCTGTCTGGTTGGCAAGGAAGCGTCAAACACATCAATGCAGGATTCTGATTTGGGTGAAAGTTTGCATCCCATGCGTCCAGTTTCCTTGTGTTTCCTCTGTTTTTTGCGGAATTGATGAGGGTATCCACATACGTCAGGCATCGGTTGTCCACAAGCACAAGCACCGAAAGAGGCAGTCGCTGCAACCACGACTTGTTTTCTTTTGTTCTATTATGTTCTATTCCAAATTTTAAAATTGTGGACATCTATTGCCTTGTTAATTAGCTGTATTTGCATGTAGCTTTATGAATTAGAGTATTAGCAGAAGTTTCCAACTCATCTTACAAGGTTTGCCAACACAGTTAGTGCAGTAGGCTGTAGGCTACCAGCTGCAGACTGAGGCGGCCACATCGGGCAACTGGAATCCTCACCCCAGGAGCGATTCCCAAAGTTGCCGATCCTCTGGCCGCTCGGAATTCACCAAAAAAACAGGGAGCTGGGGGCGGATCTTGTTGGGTAGACCGTAGGCTGCAGGCATTTGCAATCCAAAGCAGCAACATGAATTCAGAATTTGTGATGACAAATATGCATAAATATGAGCACTACTGGGAGAAGGCCAGCAGAGTGTGTCAATGTTTGGGGCCGGATTTCTGACAGCAGCTGGCCACGCCAAAATGGCTGAGTTCAAATGAGTTGACAGTGAGGCCCAGCGCAAACAGACCGCCAAGAAGATTAGCAAGCATCAAAAGCACAAGGGGACGCAAAAGAATTTGGAAAAGAAGCTTGGTGCTCAGTCCTTTGTGATGCTGATGGATGCAGCATGATCGATGCTTAGAGTACGACAAAGTCCAATGTTCATTTGTCGAACCTCCGTATCGTCCGTAGGAATATGAATTACAGGTGCAGGGCAAAGTCTCAGTCTTGAAGCATGGAAGTGCTGAACTGCTGTGCCTCTAAGGCCAGAGACCTCACAGGCACAAAATGCCTTTGTGCTGCAATGAGATCGTTGCAGTTGGTGCTGGAGAAAAGTGTTGGATGCTTCTGCTTTTCGCAGCATGGTCACAGGCGAAGCCTCTTCCTGCAAAGGCCGGGTTTACTCTAGAAGCTGATCAGTCCAACAATTTGCCTGTGCCACACTCTGACATCCTTGCCAGCAGGATCCAAACAGGTCTAAGGAACAATTATTATGTGTGTTAACACATTTGTACGGTAAACATCGGGTAAACATCGTGGAATCGTGCCATTCAAACTAGGCTGCCCGTCCTGAGCACGGTTTGCGCATGTGTGCGCGTTCGGAGCAACCGTCCAAGCAACATGCATACAGCATACATGACTTGTTTCCTTCCCGTGAGGACTTTGTATTGCATCCTGCATCATGAGCCTTGAAGTAGTTTCTTAAAGATGGCCATAGCATGGCAGTCAGCCAAGTGTCAAGTTTAGCTGCTATAGCTTGAGCATTCGGAGCAAGCAGCCCTGGAAGATGCTTTTGGCCAGGCAGACCAGGGCATTAAGGGCAAGTACAAGATGGAGGCACATACTGTTCCAATCCTGGTGCAGCATGCTGCATCTTACCGCTTTGATAGGCTGTTCCAGGTTTCCATACAACGTGTTCTCAAGTAAGGCCCCCAATCTTCAATCCTGCGCACAAATATTGCATATGTATCCATATGCATCCTGATGTGCAATTTGCGCACAGGTCTCATCAGAAGGAAACGCTTTTCAGGCGCGAAAGCCTTGCAAATGGTTGACCTACTTTGAATATCTTTGAATTATGTTCGATGAAATGCTGAAGAGTCAGGACTGGACAGAAACGACACATGGAGATTCATGTGGTGTAAGTGCAAGGCTGGAGGCCTTCATGCCGACAGTCTCGCTTTGCCGTGAGATGTAGCTCTCTGTAGCTTGGGCCGGCTACATTTGTAGCTCACGTTGCTGCCAACTCCTGAAACCTTTGGTGCTCAATGCTGTTTTCAGCGCTGCATAGGAATATTCGGTATGCTACAATTATATAGATATATATACCAGCACCACCCAATGGCTGGCCAATCATAGGCCGTTTGCAAAGGTCACCAATTGTGGTACGTTTGCATCGTGTCATTTGTGGATGCATCATACATCATAGATTCTCATATATATTGATTAGCTTAATCAATTGCCACATAAACCGCCCAATTCCAGGTTGACCAATTGCAGGTTGACACTTTGCCAATTGCCACCGCAGCCTGCGAGGGGCGCAAGGCAACTGAGTCCAACCAGGCAGTGGGATCAGTGTGGATAAGATAGAGTCTAGACATGATTAACCAGAACCATCTAGAACCTTAACACAGCAGTTTTCACTAATTTATTAAGTTTCACACTTCAACTTACTCTGCGCTGTGTGGAGCCATGCCGCAAACATCTATATCACCTGGGTCGAAGATACTTGGATATTGTTAAGGTTGCTTGGGGGGTGATCACAAGGGGGCAATGGGAACTTTTGTGGCTAAGTGGGCATCGAGGGGTTATTGGTGACTCAGCCATGCATCTAAGGAAGTTGGCCCAGCAAATGCTGGACCAGGCCCCCGATGATATATCCTGCGATCAGGACCTTGTGAATGGTGGGGACTTGAGATCAAGGGGAAACTTATGGTTAAGGTCATCTTTCAAACATAGCGGTCTTTCTAAAGTTCCCCAGGAGAGTCAGATCCGACTGGTGGTGGCAAAGTTGGCGGCCAAGAGAAAACTGGGATCCTTGATTTGTATTGTTGGGGTGATTTTCAACTCAACTGGGTTGTGACTCTTGTGTCTTTGACAAACCATTGGAAGGATAGCATATTTTTTGACAATTGGCGACAGCCTCATGAACATCTAAGGATCGAAATTATCTGCTGATGCTCGTGACGAATGGATCCGTCAGCAAGTATCCCATCAAATTAAAATTTTATTGTTTGGGGCATTCAATTCTGAACTTGTTAGAAAATTGGCTTCCTGGAAAACCAATGAATCTAAGGCATTTCTTTGCCATGACGTGCTCCTGAAGCACACCAGAGCTAGCCGACGGGGATACCCCTTGCAATCCCCACATGACAGTCAGAAGTCTAGGGGGTCGCTTGAATCAAGGTTAGAACATTTTTGTTATTTCTCACAATTTGTTTGGGTAATTTTCACTGTGAGTGAAATTCATGAGTCCTTAACCAATGTTTGCCCTCGGCGACCTTAGGTCATCCATGGACCAGTTGGAGACACAACCAGTCGATTCTGAATACTTCGGTGAGATTCCCAAGATCGATGCCACCGAAATGACACCTGGGCAAAAAAAACAAGTTACCTACCAAATAATTGTGGGCCTTGGGGTATGATACAATGTTATCTTTTACTTCCGATCGCATTGCCCAAGGATGATGTCAGGAACCCTTCCCACAATTGGTGACATACCACTTGGCCATGAAGCTTCGGAATCGGAGCCCCCTACAGATGATGAGGCGCATTGCCTAAATTGAGTTGGGATAAGTATAATTTGTTTTCTGCGTTCTTTTCTGGGTCCACTTTGGTAGCTGAACTTCACACCTGTTTGACCCCAATGTGATAGGAGAGATATATATATATATCTCTCTCTCTCTAAGATGCACCTCGATCTTATACAACCCATGAGAAACCTTCGTGTGATGCATACTTATATCTTATTGTCCGCTCATCTCCAGCAGCCCTCGCAGGACCAAAGTGAAGAAGAACAAATGGATAAGGCTAAGACGAAAGGAAAAAGTAACGAAGAGGCTAGGAAGTGAATTGGGGATTAAATGGTACACGAATGAAATTGGTCATAAGCAAGGTGCATCATCCAAATGTCCAAAAATGATTTGATGAATCATGGTTGGGTTTGTCATAATGTATGGTTCTGAAAACACACGCTGCCCAGATGGCAGCAAAAGACCCCTCCACTCCCGGATGCTGACTCGGACGAGGACACGAAGAAGAGCGGAGATGAGTAGTGTGGAGAAAGTGAAGAGGACGAGAAGAGCGAAGATGAAGAGAAGGATGGAGCAAGTGAAAAGGATGAGAAGAGCGAAGATGATGAGAAGGATGGAGAAAGTGAGGAGGACGAGAAGAAGAGCCAAGAGGAGAAGAAAGACAGCAGAAGTGAAGATGATGAGAAGAGCGAAGACGAGAAGGATGGAGAAAGTGAGGAGGACGAGAAGAAAAGCCCAGAGGAGAAGAAAGACAGCAGAAGTGAAGATGATGAGAAGAGCGAGGACGAGAAGGATGGAGAAAGTGAGGAGGACGAGAAGAAGAGCCAAGAGAAGAAGGACAGCGAAAGTGAAGATGATGAGAAGAGCGAAGACGAGAAGGATGGAGAAAATGAGGAGGACGAGAAGAAGAGCCCAGAGGAGAAGAAAGACGGCAGATGTGAAGATGATGAGAAGAGCGAGGACGAGAAGAATGGAGAAAGTGAGGAGGACGAGAAGAAGAGTGAAGATGAAGAGAAGGATGGAAGGAGTGAGGATGATGAGGATAAAAAAGGTGATGAAAAGAAGGTTGGAGGCAGTGAAGATGAAGTGATGGAAGGAAGTGATGAGAAGGACGATAAGAGCGAAGATGAAGAGATGGAAGGAAGACCTGAGGATGAGAAGAGTGAAGAAGTTAAGGATGAAGCAGGCGATGAGAATGAAGATATGGCGGAAGACGAAGAGATGGAAGGAAGTGATGAGAAGGATGATAAGAGCGAAGATGAAGAGATGGAAGGAAGACCTGAGGAGGAAGAGAAGAGTGAAGAAGTTGAGGATGAAGGAAGTGATGACAATGAGGAGAAGAGCGAAAATGGCAAGAAGGATGATGCAGGAAGTGATGAAAACGACAAGAGTGAAGATGAAGAGATGGAAGGAAGACATGAAGAGGATGAGGAGAGCCAAGATGAGAAGCATGGAAGCAGCGAGGACGAAAAGGAGAAGAGTGATGTTGAAAAGAAAAATGGACTAGGTGAGGAGGATGAGAAGAAGAGCGAAGATGAAAAGATGGATGGAGGACATGACAAGGATCAGAGGAGCGAAGATGATGAGAAGGATGGAGAAAGTGAGGAGGACGAGAAGAAGAGCCAAGAGGAGAAGAAAGACAGCAGAAGTGAAGATGATGAGAAGAGCGAAGACGAGAAGGATGGAGAAAGTGAGGAGGACGAGAAGAAGAGCGCAGAGGAGAAGAAAGACAGCAGAAGTGAAGATGATGAGAAGAGCGAGGACGAGAAGCATGGAGAAAGTGAGGAGGACGAGAAGAAGAGCCCAGAGGAGAAGAAAGACGGCAGATGTGAAGATGATGAGAAGAGCGAGGACGAGAAGAATGGAGAAAGTGAGGAGGACGAGAAGAAGAGTGAAGATGAAGAGAAGGATGGAAGTAGTGAGGACAATCCGCTCTTACAGATCCCAGCCGCCCAGTCTTTGTTGAAGAAAGGACTCGCACCGGAGATGTTGGAAGTTTCGAAAGGCAGTCAAAGTTCAAACTCTTCTTCATCTTCTACCTCCTCTACATCAAGTGCTTCAAGCAGTGAAAGCAATGAAGAAGATGAACAACCAGTCATGAAAAGGCCAGCACAAAGGAAGAAGGTGACCAAGTCCCCACCGAAAGGTTTGGAGGCAGCCGTGGAAGAGGCCAGTACACTTGCAGCGTTTGACGCACTTCACATGACGAGATACTGGGACTACTGCAATGGGAAATTTCAACATCTGACTGCTCAAGAAGCTTTGTGTGAACTGGATGTTTCAGAATCAGTGGAAGCACCAAAGATTGATCCACAAAAACAATATGATAAGTTTCTTGCAACCGTCTTGCAGAAGAAGAGTGAAAGCAAAAGAAAGGTAGAGGAGGATATGAAGGAAGAACCGCTGGAAGACTTGCTTGACAGAGACCTTGAGAAGGAACCCCGTCTACCCGAACCACCTACCAAGCGGATCCGAAAGAAGTCTTCCGGCATCTAGGCTCAAAAAAATAATTGATGCTATAAATGTTGAGGCTATATTGAACTTAAAACCCCATATCATCATTATTTTTCGAGGCTTGATATTATAAACCCGTGGGGTATGTTGGGATTATCTGGTTGTTATCGTTCAGATGTAGTACCTTGTCACCCACTGAAACCACATCTCAGGTCTGCCAGATTGCCACTCTGCCCAGTCTGCTGCCTCCTCGGTGAAGCCAGAGCCGGAGGAGCGAGCCTCTCGGCCGTGGCTTTTCCGGGTGCTTGGGGTGAGGGGTTCCACACTCTTTGGAGCGAGGGTTCAGTATGGCATCTACAAATTTGAAATTTATTGTGTTAGTGGCCGACTCCCTTCAGGCTATGAAGGACAAAAAAACGCTGGTCCATGAGGAGAAATTCCAGGACTTCAGTGACTTCAGCGCGAACGCCTTTCGTGTTACAATAGGTAGATGTCAGCAAGTTGCCTTAGATAAAGCTGGTGGAAAGCTCCCGTTACCAGCAGAGCAGTTGGCCCTCATTAACAAGCACAGAGAAAAGAAAAATGCCAGACTAGCAACAGCGAAGCCTATCTCGATTGATGTACTTGTTTGATTCTGATTTGGGTTGTTCATATGTTTTATGATGATGTTTGAATAGTTCACTCTTCTGGGTTTGAATGGAATGGAGTAGCTAAGGAAATACGAACTTCTGTGCCGGGTGAATGACGCGCAGGACGGGTGGACTGTGGAGATTCGTCGCCGACTCGAAGGAAAAGCAGCTGGACAACTATACAAGGTTTGGATCACCCCAAAAGGACAACAGCTCTGGACTAAGAAACTTGGCTATGGGTTGATATGGTTGATGATTGGTGTACGGGGTCATGTTTAGTCCCAACATGATTAATTAAACATAACAGCAACTTTTCTATATCAATCCATTGCTTCAATCTAAGGGGATCAGCAAGCACTGCGGGCTTCACTGGCTGGGAGAGGCTGAATGAGATCCAAAAGTCTCTGAGGGACAAAAAAAAGGACTCGGAAACTGTTCCCGCTTCAATTTCCAAAACGGAAGGGTCATCAGCACCGCCCAAACGCACCAAAAGAAAGGTGACCGCTAAGACGAAGACCACTAAGAAGACGAAGACAGCGTCCAAGTAGGTTGTTGGATGCCCAAATTTAAATGCCCTGGACCATCAAATGTGCATTATATCTCAATTGTCAATTCTTATCATATGTATATTGGATCACACCCTAATTATACCAGAGTTATTTCTTCAGGGGATATGGTTTCAGGCGCGCCGCAATGGGGTATCAATGGCAAGTCGTGGACCATAGACCACCCTCTCAAAGTTCTGGTTGTCATCCCAAGTTGCATTTTTTCTTATATCTTTTGGGGGCTTGGAGCCACACTTGTGTTCTGAACTTTCCGGCAGGGACATTGACCGTGCCTCGCCAGTGCCAAAATGTGCTTTCTGCTTGGGCGTACTTGTGACCTGCAACTTGGGAGTGGGAGTGACCATCACACAACATGGATGGGCCTTGGTTGAGGCACGATTTCAACACACCAGCATTTTGGCTGAGGACTTTCCTTAGGATTAGGGCCATGGATCCGAAGCGCTTGTTAGTGATCCTCACCTTACTTTCGCAGATTGAGCTGCCTCCTAGTCATGAAGCGAATGACTTTGTTCCTTGATTTGAACCATTAGCAAGGTTGAAAGGATTGTATATTCGAAAATGGGGTCCAAACTCACAAGGGGTTCGTTACAAAGCGTTTCCTAGGTGGAGGTGTGCAGTGGACAAGGTGAACTGAGCCGTGCTCTCTGGAGAAGTGGCCGGCAGGGCAAAGCTTTTGATGTGTCTTGGTTGATATTGGATGCCTCAACACAAATCTGCCACGAAGGGCAAACCCTCAAACAAAAAATGTTGAGGTGGTCTACTCAAAGAACCACAACCTGCTACGAACGGTTGGCTTCCTATCGGTACTTGCAGCAGCTGCTCATCTCAACTAGTTGAGTTGCAATACTTCCCGACATCTTGTGTTGACATGGATGAATTCCACAACCCTCTTTCGCACAACGCTAAACATCACAATAGTACACAACATCACCCTATGGCAAAAACATATGTAAATTAAACGGCTCAGGTACGAAACACACGGGCAGGAGGGCTATTGTTCTTCGCACCACCATGTTCCACATGGGTGTTTTTGACCCCTGTCTGCATTGGCAATGTTGAAGAGTGAAACATTGTGAGCTTAGTCCAACTTGTAAATCTTGTCAAAAGAAAATGGTTATCAACCAGTTTCGTTGCGATTTGGGAAGTGTGGGGAGCAGTGGAGTTTTCACGGCCTTAGGTCTTCACCCAGTACTGGGAGGACTTGGCTTGACCCAGAAGGGTATCCCACCAAGTGTGTCTTGCTGGCAAACATCTTTGTGATGCGCATGCTGTACATGCTGCTTGGCTTCGAGCTTCAAGAGAAAACCAACAAATATCAAAAAACATCAAACGACACTCCATTCATAGAACAATGATGTGTTCAATGGCTTCCAACTAAGACTGTTCTACGCATGGCGTCGTGGAATTCACATAATGGTGGAGCAGCCAATCAGTTCAGCCCTGTCCTAAGTTGCAATCATCAAAGTTAAAGTTAATTGAGTTATTTAGAAACATTTTTAGATAAATAGCTGGCTTCTCCCCTTAACCTCAGGTCCTGTTTGATTGGGCACCAGTCAAGAAATTTCTGATTCTGTGCAATTCCAGGACTGCCCACGTGTCCTCAGTTAAATGCTCGCGTTGATGATATTGATTTGTTGACCCCTGCAGGAAAGTTACGTTCCCCATGGGATCCTGGGGTGCTCCTTCGATGAAGTACACCACGAAGCCTATCTGAGATTATGGTTGGAGATGGTGTCATCATGTGTCAGCAATTGCATAATGTATCGGCCCCATATGGCATTGTTCATTTTGAACTGGTCATTTCCATTGGTAATGTGGGATCCTTTTTGGGCGGCAAGACAAAAACATACCAAACTGATAGTTATTTACCTGTTTCTGGTGCTGTTCCCTCCTGCATGGGCCCAAGGATATGGGGGACTCTTCCCGGTATCTCCAGCCTCCGTCGTCCTTTGGATTTGAAGCAGCTGAAGCGTGCCCTTGACGCCCTGACCAGGACATGGTGGGGCATCGGTGGAAGTGGGGGGGATTGATGCTTGTTTTTAAAGCCAAAACAATCCCAAACAATAGTAAACAACTGTCACATGATGGAGTGCTCGAAGTCGACTCATGTCTTCTGTGCAAACGAAAGCTGCCAGAATAGGCACAACATCGGTTTGTCGAAGGGACGTCCACCTTGACCCTGTAGCCAATCTGATGACTGATGATGACATGAGGGCGTTGTCTTCGTCTAGCTGTCAAGCTTTCACGCATGTGCCACTTGGAAGATTCCTCTTGCGACAGTCTGCCTTCCTCCAAGGTTTTCGTGCCCACACTCTCCGCACAGGAATGTGCATCATCAATCCTTTGAATGCATTGGTCAGACTTTTGCAGCCCAAATGTCCTAACTATAACCTATGATAATATTATCATTGTATGATATGAATACCCTCATACTAGGTTCTCTTCAACAAGTTGCCCAGTGCTTCACCCGGAAGGAACACCCTTGTCAAGAAGACGGTGGACAAAGCTGGCAAAAAGAGAGTCGAATCTTGTCTGCAAATATTACTTGGGTTCTGGGGTCCCTTGGTTTACTGGTGGCAAAGAATCTTATATATTTGCATGTTAACACATGACTAATGTGGGTTGATTGGACAATAAATTTGATAATAATATGGGTGGTTCACATCGAATCTCCAAATCTCAGGTGGGTATCAAAAAAGCTTTGGAGCAATCAGCGGTGTATCCTCGGGACTTTGCTTGGGCCATTGCTGGCCTGTTACCAGTGACTGGGAAGCGGCCGTCGAATGACGAAATCGATGTTTCATATCAAGGAACTGGTTCAGATTTAGGTGCCCTGGATGATTTGCTGAAAGGGCCTCGTAAAACTTGGTGGAGGCTAATTCAATAGTTCCGTACGGGGGATTGGTGTGGTGATTCACTGCGACAACTTCAAGTTCTACATGCTAGTCACCTATACAAGATGTGTTGCTTATATGAGGGAAACACCCATCTCCTGTATGTCAATATAGCCACCTTCTGAACTGAAATCTAATTAGTCTGCGCAGAGAGTGACGTTGAGAAAAATGTTTGGGGTTATGCCCCTCGGGTTTTCTGTGCGAATTTACAACGCTGCCAAAAGAACAAATTGTGTTGCAGTATTTAGGCTGGAAACAAATAAGGCGATCTACGGATAGATTTCGACCATGCCAGTTTGCCCCAAAATCTTGGAGCGATTATCTATCGCACGCCATGATCGAGCATGCCTGAGCTGTTGGCTGGGTGTTATTCAAACTTACCTTGTGGAGACCCTTGGCTACACATCCACTACCACGCTATTCCCAATTGCAATCCCAAATGCATATCAAACCCTTTGACCTTTTGCCAAATCTATAATTCAGGACTGATGGAAAGCCTTATGGACCAGCCCAAGCAATCTCTCGTGATTGCAAATGTGAAGAGGTTTCAGTTCAGTCGATGCTAGCTGAAGAGAAGGCAGCCCAGAATAAAGCTGCTTCGATGGCCTAATTAGCTTTGGCTGGGTGTGGAACGGGGCCCAAAGATACATTGGTGGAGACCTTTATAATCCCTTAATATCTTTGGTTTCTGATAGATGTGTTTGATGAAAATTGGGCTAATTTAGAAATACCCCCCGGTGTCTCAGCCCTTCACCATTCACCAGCTCCAAAGTGGTCACGCGCCTGTTGTCCCGACACTGGGCCAGAACCTGCAAAGTTGTCGGAAAATAGGCCAATAGTGCGTGTCAAAGCGTGTCATTTGCGTGTCATTGGGTTGAGGGGTTGGCCCACCAATTGCAGTACATAGGTCCTATTGTATAAGCCAATTGTGAGCCGTTGGAAACGTGTCATTTGAAATCAGGGGTCCCCCTGCGTGTCATTTGCGTGTCGATTTTGCATACCTCAACTGGAGTTTCACACGCAACCATGGGGAATTTATTTCTGGCTCGGGTTCCAAGTCCTAGTGCAAAAGGCACGATACAAATAGGGTAGGTCCAATGGGTAAGAAAAACCCAACTGGTAGTTCTGAAGCTATCAGAATGGCAAAAGCCACGCCTTGTCCACCCAAAGCCCATCTAGAGTGGGAAGAGCAAAGGAGAAAACTCATCGAGGCTGTTGAGGAGGATAAACGTAGAGCTAAGAGACGGGAGGAGAAGGAGAAGGATGAGAAACTGAAAAAAACAGAGGCCAACCATGGTGAAGACAAGGAAAAGAGAAAGACTGGGGAGAAGGCAAAGGAGAAGCATGCAAAAGAGACCAAAACTCCAAAGAACACTGCAGCAGCCAGCAAGACGAAGGAAGATGAGAAGCCCAGGAAGAAGCAGAAGATGGCAGATGATGTTTCACAGCCAGAAGTGAAGCCATCGGGCCCTGCAGAAGCAAAGGAAGCAAAGGAGAAGAAAGATCAGGCCACAGGAGAAAAGAGAAAGACTGAGGAGAAAGCAAAGAAGAAGAAGGCAGGAGATGAAGAGAAAACGACTGAAGCTCAAGCGAGCGGTGCAGCAGCCAGCAAGACGAAGGAAGATGAGAAGTCCAAGAAGATAGAGAAAAAGGCAGATGAGGTTTCACAGCCAGAAGTGAAGCCATCGGGCTCTGCAGAAGCAAAGGAAGCAAAGGAGAAGAAAGATAAGGCCAAAGGAGAGAAGAAAAAGACTGAGGAGAAGGCAAAGAAGAAGGAGGCAGGAGATGAGAAGAAACAGACCGAAGCCCCAGCGAGCAGTGCAGCAGCCAGCAAGACCAAGGAAGATGAGAAGTCCAAAAAGATAGAGAAAAAGCCAGATGAAGTTTCACAGCCAGAAGTGAAGCCATCGGGCCCTGCAGAAGCAAAGGAAGCAAAGGAGAAGAAAGATAAGGCCACAGGAGAAAAGAGAAAGACTGAGGAGAAAGCAAAGAAGAAGAAGAAGGCAGGAGATGAAGAGAAAAAGACTGAAGCTCGAGCGAGCGGTGTAGCAGCCAGCAAGACGAAGGAAGATGAGAAGTCCAAGAAGATAGAGAAAAAGGCAGATGAGGTTTCACAGCCAGAAGTGAAGCCATCGGGCTCTGCAGAAGCAAAGGAGATGAAAGATAAGGCCAAAGGAGAGAAGAAAAAAACTGAGGAGAAGGCAAAGAAGAAGGAGGCAGGAGATGAGAAGCAAAAGACCGAAGCTCCAGCGAGCAGTGCAGCAGCCAGCAAGACGAAGGAAGATGAGAAGCCCAGGAAGAAGCAGAAGATGGCAGATGATGTTTCACAGCCAGAAGTGAAGCCATCGGGCCCTGCAGAAGCAAAGGAAGCAAAGGAGAAGAAAGATAAGGCCAAAGGAGAAAAGAGAAAGACTGAGGAGAAGGCAAAGGAGAAGGAGGCAGGAGATGAGAAGACAAAGACCGAAGCTCCAGCGAGCAGTGCAGCAGCCAGCAAGACGAAGGAAGATGAGAAGACCAAGAAGAAACAGAAGATGGCAGATGATGTTTCACAGCCAGAAGTGAAGCCATCGGGCTCTGCAGAAGCAAAGGAAGCAAAGGAGAAGAAAGATAAGGCCACAGGAGAAAAGAGAAAGACTGAGGAGAGGCCAAAGGAGAAGAAGGCAGGAGATGAAGAGAAAAAGACCGAAGCTCCAGCGAGCAGTGCAGCAGCCAGCAAGACGAAGGAAGATGAGAAGCCCAAGAAGAAGCAGAAGATGGCAGATGAGGTTTCACAGCCAGAAGTAAAGCCATCGGGCTTGGAGAAGAAGGCAGGAGATGAGAAGAAAAAGACCGAAGCTCCAGTGCGCAGTGCAGCAGCCAGCAAGACGAAGGAAGATGAGAAGCCCAAGAAGAAACAGAAGATGGCAGATGAGGTTTCACAGCCAGAAGTGAAGCCATCGGGCTCTGCAGAAGCAAAGGAAGCAAAGGAGAAGAAAGATAAGGCCACAGGAGAGAAGAGAAAGACTGAGGAGAAAGCAAAGGAGAAGAAGGCAGGAGATGAAGAGAAAAAGACCGAAGCTCGAGCGAGCAGTGCAGCAGCCAGCAAGACGAAGGAAGATGAGACGCCGAAGAAGGAAAAGAAGACCAACAGCAAGGCGACAAGGAAAGAAGGAGAAGAGAAGCAGCAGGATGAGCAGGATCACACTGAGATGAGCCTTGTCCTGGCAGTGCCCAGACCGTTGGTTGCGACCAGTGCAGCCGGTGGAAGTGAAGGAGATAAACCCACTGAGAAGGAGCAACAGGATGGCAAGAGCAAACATATCAAACCAAAGAGAAAGGCAGAGACACATGAAGATGACAGGAATGCAAAAGCCATAAAGGATGGTAAAGACGATGGAAAAGCAAAGAAAAGTCTAAGTCAGGACAGAATCTTACCATGGGTTTGGGTTACAGGTGTGTACATTGGGATCTTTAACCTGTTCTACTTTGACATTTTGACTTTGGTGGTTCCTTCAAACCTTGACTTTAAGTATGTCATATACATTCATATTACATATTCCTCCAAAGGACTAGGGCCAATAGATCTTGAACGAATCCCATCAAGTCTATCCCAACTACTTCTCTCCAGGAGATGTTGATCGAAAAGACATCGACTTTGGAAAGCCTCGATTTCGGAGGACTTCTGTCACCACCCTTTTCTCAGAAGAGCCGAGTCACTCGAGATTTGGACTCTGAATTCGATGAGGCAGCAGACCCTTAGATTACTTTTTCAAATTGTATGTATGTCATTCATAGCTGCATCAATTTTGGGGTGGTAAATGAAAAACACCTAGGTTGAATCCCAATCCACTTAGGACACTCCAGCCCAAACCCAGTCGACGCCGCCATCATCAACGAGGGTGGCCCGGAAGAAGGACTTAACCGAGGAGGAAAAGGGCAAAATAGCGTCCATGTCAAAGCCATCTGACATGCCCTATGAAGATCCTTAGCTAAAATATATAGTCTGGTGCTTATCCATGGGTAAAGCTGCCACCTCAGCCCCATGATGCCCAATGAACTACCTGAAAAATAGTTTGAATAAACCTCAATTAACATAATTCATCCTATGGGTAGCCTTCCCTAAGGAACGCAAAAGACAGTATGCAGCGATGCGCCGTGCTATCTACAAGGATGCCAAACCTGAACTTGTGGCAAAGTTCTCGTTGTGTTCGGACAAAGAACGGTTCCATGAGTGCAAGTATATGTCTTGATTCTTGACAATTAAACGGTATATCCATAAGATGTCAGATATCAATTTATCATGTGTGAGCTCAGGTTTCAGATGTTGAAATCATGGGTCCAAAACCAAGACCTGGGAGAGATCGAGATCGAAGAAAAGTATGTCTCCTGGGTGCGTTCCTTGCGCACAGACCGCTATGTGACAGCCATACCCCCAGTAGTGTTTTCCCGAGTTACTTTAAAAGTTTATGGTGGCTAGATATCATGACAGTAGGTGCAATACCCCCTCCATCCTCATGTTTTTTTTCCTGAGGTGACAGTTTTCCAGCTGGAGAAAATGTTCGGGAAGTCTCAGGAGGCCAAAGAATTCATAGCGGAGTTGTGCCGCGGACACTTGGATAAACCCAAAAGACCCTGTTGATTTGTATTGATTTGTGATGCCATATTTCATTGGCAATGTTTAGTAGCCGATCCAATTATTCCACCTTATAAGTCACGCCGAATCTTAGGTCAGCAAGGGGTGCCGCACCCACAGGCCTGGTGTGGCTTGTGCTTGATGTTGAGGCTTTCTCGGCTGCACTCTTTCGTTTGTTGCGGCCTTGGCAGGCCCCGTCGAGCAAGAAAGCCAGAATGTTCAAAGTCTTGCGGGAGGTAATGGAAGAAAACACAACTGGCTCTGACTATACCTCCTCAGTGACTCGCTTTGTTCCCTTTACCTTTTTATACATGCTGATATTGTTATGTTAGTGTTAGCTACCAAGGATGGTATTCAAGAACATAGTATTGAAATAGGGTTCTTCATTTACTAACTATCTGAGGCGAGTCTTTCTGGAAGAGTCCGAGATGGGGGTGCCAAGCAATTGCTTGCCAAACAGCTTCAGGGGGTGGATGGGTCCATGCCAGCTTTCATGGACCTTACAACTGGTGCAATTCGTTCAAAGAAACCGAAGAAAGAAAAGAGCCCCCAAGAGGAAGCACAGATTGAGATAAAGAAGGTGAATAAAAAGATCTTAGACTTCATTCATGTAAGTTATTTCTTTTGGTCAACTGGTATTTTTGAGTTGGGGTAGTGTTACACCGTTGGTCGCTCTGGATTCAACCACCCCAGGTTCAAGCAGCTGATCAATGAAATTCCCAAGTTGGTTTCTGATCTCCAAGTACACAATGTGAGGAACTGCACAGAGCTGGTGTCTCGATTTGCAATATGTTTAACAGCTGTCAAGTCTCACAAGGATTCAAAACATTTTTTATGCACCAACAAAATCCAAATTCACGCTAGGTAGATGCCCTTCGGAAGCATGAAGGTGAAGCTCTTGCTGGATTTACTCGCACTGACAACTTGTTGAAGATTCCAGTGTCCGATTTGGACCCCATGAGTGTGATGTCCGATCTGGCATCCGAGAAAGATACGGCAAAGGTCATTGTTGGTGATGTCTCGGACGGCAAACGCCGTTTGAATGCTGCGAAGGGCCCCAAGCCTAAGAAACCTAAGGCTCCTGCCCCTGATGATGAGGATGAGTCAGAACTTGAGTGATCACACTTGTTGGATGATGGATGTTTAATTAAACAACTTGTTCAAAGACTATAATTTGAACCCAAACATTACCTTTCACGACCTGCTGCGGGGCTTGCCCTTTGCAATTCATGACCCTAGCTGCACACTCGCAGGCGTGATATCATGCAGTGACCACAACAGATGGGACCTGAAATTATTTCTTCTGGGCCCTTTGAAGGAAAGATGCCAACCACAATTGAACTATCCCTCACATATTATGTTGTCAGTGCTTGGATGGTCTCCATGTGGTTTAATTCAAATTTTAGATTTGATCAGATGGCCGCTTGATCTCAGATCCTAGGCCTCCGCACAACTGTCAGGCGTGAATGTCTGACTTTCCAAATCTTTATTGGCCTGTCGTGGCCGCTGTTGCACACGCAATGCTCGCCACGCAGGATGACCGGGAGTAAATTGAGTGTGTGATCAACTGTTCTTTTGAGAGCTTTGTGAACCCATTCAAAAGCCACCTAAAACTTATCAGTAAAGTAGGCAGGATTGACGTGGTAGATCTTTGAGTCAGCTCTGGCCGTTGGAACCCAAGCCAGTGTAACAACAGTTTGATCAATAACACATGCAATGTTCTTATCAATGGACTACTCCTTGAACCATATGGAATCAAAAAAACAATTTTGACAAAAGAGGGAATTGTTTAATTTATGTTGGGCACTTGCCAGCATCCAGCCATGTGGATCATGCCTCTGTATGGATTTGGTTGAAGAATTTCTGGAATTGGGGAAACTCGTATCTCAACTGCAATATTACCATGCAATTGTGTTGTTTTTTTTTAAATAGGAAACCCGTTTGGGTACAACAATGAGCTAAGGTAAGCGTCCAAACATTAGTAGAGTTTCTACGGGTCCTACGCCGACGCATTCCTGGTCGACATCTCCCGCCACTTGGCCTCATAAGAGATTAAAAAAATGTTCAATTTTATAATATATGTTTTGAACGCATCTTATATGTAATATGCACGGAGTATGATATCGAAAACGTGATATAGAACCCTGCATGTGGGATCCCCCTTAGGCATCTCCCAAAGTACATACTTGTCGACTATTCTTTGCCCAGGGCCAACCTGAAAGACTTGGTGAAGATTGGTGATGAGGGATCCAAACATGTTGGCCGAGATTTCTGGAGATGGCTGAACCGGCAACCATGGAGAAAAATGTTACCGTCACCAAAAAAGCAACTTAGCTACTAAGGATTTTGTATAGAAGTTCCTGTTGTTTTGATCTGATCACTATCCCAATGCCACCAATTCCACTCCGTTGCCCAGGATTGATCTAGTCTTGACGGATCGAAGTCGCCCAGACCCTGTCTACTTGGGAAAATGGCATATGTTCTTGCCCAGTGACCTGCACCTCATTTGAAATTTCCAGTGGTCGCTTAGTACTGGGCCTGCCACAGAATCAGTTTTCACATACTTTAACTTTTATGGGCCAAGGATCCATGCGATGTATACTTATGATCAAGCTCTTTTCCACGAACGATGGATTGGCCCTCCCGGTGTGCCTAGATGCAATTTGCGTTTACTTCATGCTGAGGGGGGGGCATGGGTGACTTGGACTTAGGTGCTGGAATCGTTCTGGCGCGCACAGCAATCACGGGATTGGTTTTTGAACCATCCTATCCTGAGCGATCCCGATCTTTGTCAGAACTTATTGTGTGCAGAATGTTTTTTTGTGGTAAGTTTTGTGATACTCAGTGAACATGTGTGCAGCATTGCGCATAAGGATGTGGACTTATCATTAGTATTTCCTATCCTGTGCCATGGGGATGACGCGGAATCGCATCGCCGCAGGAGTTTTACTGTGACTACAATCAGTAGCCCTTTGATGGGGGGTAAGTCCCCATGGGACCAAAGGTTCTTGGTGTATGTGATGGATGTCAACCACTCGTTGCCAGAAACAATTGAAACCCTTGATGCGTGGGTGGTGTACGGATTGGTCGAACTACAAACAGGTCAATTCATGACTGTTGATGTGTATGGGCAACCTTGTGAGAGAAAGTTTTCTGGACCAGTTTGTGGACCTTACAGGGGTGTCTTGTACGCGCTTAAGGGGGATCAAAAATTCCTCCAAAAAGCTTTGAAACTGACCACTTCCTGGACCTCTGAAAAATGCTGCATGTATTGTGGCGCCACTGCTAGTGGCCAATTGGTTTATTCGGCGTTTGGCGAAGGCGCGCCACATCGGTCTACACCTCAAACAACACTTGGGTTTATCACAGATGGGTGCCTTCCAAATCCATGGGTGAGGGTTCCTGGCTTCGACTTATCAATGGTTCTGACTGATTGGTTACACCTGGTCGATTTAGCAATAACTCCAGAAGCCTCAGCTAGTGCAGCTTAAGCTACGTTTAGTCAGTTTTGTTTGGGTGATTGATGTTTGGTTTCTTGTTGCTTTTCCCCATTGCCTCTCTGACCTTCTCTGATTCTTTGAATTGTAACTAGTATGCACTGCAGGCATTGGTTGAGCTGATCGCTTCTGATCTTGTATGGAAAGCGGATTCTGCAGAGGAAAGGCTTCGTCTGGCCTATGTGGACTTTTGCAGGGAATGCAAAAGACATGGTGTGCGTTGCTGGGTTGCAGTTTGTGCGGCCAAATGGAAAAAACATGGTCGATGATGGTACTGGTTGCACATCAATGCACCTAAGGAAACAAGGGACAATTTTCCATGCTGATTCTCGGTTGCAGCGGTGTGGTGACAGGATGTTTAGTTTTTGGATGTGTTTGGAGGATTCCGTTGTTTTTAGATGCATGGATGTATTACATATGTGATGTGCAGGAAACAACTCTACCCCCTTGGCAAAAAGAATTACCCTACGCTTGTGCAGAAGTTCTTCAATGGGTCTGTCCTTTGGCTATATGTTTGGTTTCATGTGGGGCAGGGTTTCACAGCGTGGTGGATGTAGTCAGCAATTGATCACTAAGGAGGCGGCTATTTTAGCGAAGTGGCTCAAAGGTGTTTGTCTGGGAGTTGCGCAAATGTTTCCCCACGACGAGCATTGCGCGCAGCTTGGCAAGCATACTTAGTACTTATCAGAATGGGGTGTGCCAGGAATTTCTTGGGCGCATTAAATGCATGTGAATAGTGAGGCTCCGCGCAGCGGTGTTTGTGAACTTGGTGGCCATGCGATCGTGTATGTCCACATCGCGCAACAGTGGCACTGGTTGTATCCTATCTCATGAGAATCTGTCAGTCTTGGTCAGGGCCAATTACTTATTTCATTCTGCGTTCAACAGTTCCTTTGGCTGCACTGAGGGTGGAAGGGTAAAAACCAAAGTTTTGTTCAGTTATGTTTCATGTTGCGCCTAGGCTTGGCCCGAGAGGCTATTGATGCTGGCCTTTTCCTTTGGAAATTGCGCCCAAAAATACACCAGCTACTTGATTGAAACTTTTCCACACATGCACCAGTGATTATTTTATCAGGGGGATGCATTTTCCACCAATTCTTTTCATCTAAGGCTAGACCACCTGGTCATTGACCAGGCGCCAGTGGCCAATCCATTGCCCATTTCGACCTATACCGATGAAGATTTCGTCGGTAAGGTTAAACGTTTGTGCATTTTGACACATCCTCAGAACATGTCATATCAAATTTTACAAAGGTATGCCGCATACACATGTGTGCGCTGGCTGCGCCAGTTGACAGAGTAACTTTATATGTTTATACACTGGGCCCCCCCCAAAAAAAATAGATCCGTCTTGATTTTAGAACCACCAACTGGCAGCAACCCAACCCTGTGCCTGGCGAGAGCTTGCTCCCAACTTTCACCGAGAAAGGCCGCGGCAGCACGGCGATGTTGGATGAGGGGTTACAAACAATGGTTTATTCCTCAAACATTGGGGTATTGATATAGTGTTATTGGTTAAGCCTCCAACATCTTCAAACATTGGGTCATGGGGTTTGCAAAGATTCACACCCTAAGATTGGGATATGTGATATAATGTGACATATATGTTGGGAATGTGAGCAATTCAACATGTATGTTTTCTGCCCATCTTATGGCTCACCAATTGTGGTACGTTTGGTTTGTAAAATTTAAGTCACCAATTATGGTACGTTGGGGGGTTATGGTATACATTTATATATATATATATATATATAGAGGTCGAGTTATATGTTGCTATTAACGGGGTTTACTTGCTAGCCCGTTTTTCTTTGCAGGATATGACAGCGAGCCACGGAATAGGAAAAAACACCACCCCTCTGATGCTTATCATAGAATTGGATGATGGGAAAATTTACAGGAAAGCCCTATATTTGATCGTAAAAACCATGGTTTCCGGTTAAGATTTTCCCTTAAACCAATCCATTGAGCTTATGGATGCTTATGGTTTCATTACATTCAACCCCTCAGAGATGCAACCAGTGATACTTGAGAAACACTTTATTGTGCAACCAGTGGTCCCCTATAGAGGTCGAAGGTGGATCGTCACATTCGAAAAAAAACAAACATGGTGGTTCTGAATTATCCCGCCATGTTTCTGGTCCGTTTTTCCAAAAATTAAAATCTCCAGTGTTTCGGATGCTGTAAAATCAGCGTAGCTCCTTTGGTTGATGGCTGTAAAAATCTGTATCATTTCTGCTGAAGTTTAACGTTATTTCCGTTGCGAAAAGGCCTGATTCTTGAGAACCACTTCTTAAAACCAAATTAATACCTTAATGTTTTTTTGATTTAACTGGTTTCCAAAATGTCTTGGTTTGAATATCCAATATGATCAGTGGGTCATATTTGTTTTTTTTAGCATGTTAAAGCCACTCCTAGTGGTTTGATTCAACCACTGAGGCTCGGATTGGCTGATTGGCTGCAAGGTGATTTCCCACAGTTACGGAAGTTTGTTGGTTTATGTTCAGCTACTGTGGATGGTTGCAAAATCCTGCAGCAGGAAGGGTAACTTTTGGGATTTCTATGGAAACATTGTAAATTGAGTGGGATGATCGGATGTTTTCCATCTACCTGAGGATTCCGCAACCATCCCAATGTATTGACTTAAACATATATAATTTAATGTATTATAAAATGTTATATATCATTATATATCCCGCTTGTACCCAAGAGTTTTCACCCTTTCAACTCTGCGTCTTCTCGGAGCGTGCACATAGGTGATCTAAAGATCGCAGCACAGCAGAGCTTGGGGCAGGGCTTCTTGCGGCTCATCGCACCAGTCCCTTGGAGAGATGGGTAAATATCCCACGGTCTTTGCGAACGTTGGTGTTGCGAAGTGGAAAATCCACCCATGGAGCTATAGGTAAATCAACTATAACTGGTTGGTGGTTTGGAACATTTTTGTTTTTTTTTCCATATATTGGGAACAATAATCCCAATTGACTTTCGTATTTTTCAGAGGGGTAGGTATACCACCAACCAGAAAAATATTTTAAGTTTGCCATTTTCAAACTGTAACAAATTACCAGAGAATGATATCATGGGATATAGAATCTAGCCTCTGAGTAATTTAAGTTACAAAACTATTGCAATTATGGCCTTTTGTCCATTTATATACCTAGCTCTAAAATGGTGATTTTCCATAGCAAACTGTTAGTTTACCAGAGGGTATGGGTCCCATAACTATGGGATATTTTTGGTATGGGATACAGCTATGGGATGTAACCCGTTATACGGGTACGGGAATTACCACACTACTTGGATGATATACAGCGGTACCCGATTGAGCAGTGCCTGCAAGACACGAGTTGGTTGGTTGAGGCTCGTAGGGGGTTCGAATCTATCGAATCTATTGGGAATGATCATAAACCATGAGGGGAGATCCGTTCTTAACCAACCAGGATTTGTTTTTTCAAATGACGGGTTTTGAACACTGCTCAGGGGAATCTGTTGGGATGTGAATCTGTTGAATGCCCTTGGGGCAGAATGCCAAAAACATGTGGTGCCCCCCAGTGATGTGAACGTTGGTTTATAAAATCCCATAACTATAGTTATAAGATGTTATAAGTACCATAAACCATATAGTTATTGGAGTTATTTGCACCAACTGAACGCTATCGACCGGGGGCCCCACATTGTACCAATCATGGGGATACGCTCCGGTTCTTGGTTCGGGTATCAGCTCCATGGCTTGAATCCACCCCATCGATCTGTGAGGGAAGATCACCATTTTTCTATGGAAAATCGAACATTTTGCGAACTGGAAAATCACCATTTGTTATGGTTTTCTATGGAAAATCGAACATTTTGCGAACTGGAAAATCACCATGTTTATCGATTTTTAATGGGACAACTCACTATTTCGACTGGGCATATTCTATGTCGCAAACTCTTAAATTACCAGAGGGTAAACTCCGATGAAACCGTTTATTTAGTTTGGGGATTTCCCAGCCATGTTTGATGACCAGGGTAGGTGATCCCTCCAGCTGATTTCTCGCAATCCATGAGACTTTTGGGTGCCCCATTTGAAAAAACAAACCCGCTGCAAATATTTTGGGGTCACACAAATTCAACACTGGAATATCATTAGGGGAAAGAAAAAACACCATCGAGACATATCAAGATATACATTAGTTCAATGATGAATGATAGGTATAATGAGTTGGGTTTCATCTAGATGCTCAATACGAAACCCATATTTCTAAACATAGACTCTGGTAAACTAACAGTTGCGAACTGGAAAATATGCATTTTGAATATAGGTAAATCAACTATAGATCACCATGTTCAATACCAAAGTGTGACAAATTGTATCGACATGAAACGAACGGGGACCCCGGGAACGCTAATCAAACATGGGACATCTCCTATAAATGGAAGTTTTTTAATGTGAAAATCATCTATAAATGGGTGTATTTTTATTGCAACGTTTGATTGGCGGAGGGGGTCCCGGCTGCAATGGCCATGGCCCCAAATCGTGATTGCTGCAAGGCCCAAGGCCCGGGTAAATACTACAAGGTTAACCTCATGTACAATCCCATATCAACAACAAAAACCATTATCGAAAACCATTGCCGTGATATAGCTGCCACTATACCTATAGAACTATAACCCACAGTTGACCCACCATTATTCATATACGTTACTTGGTTGCTCATCCCGATTAGTAAGTGGGATAGTTCACCCCAGTTATCGCTGGGGTGAACGAAGCGGCTTGCGTCTAGTATTCATGGATTTATAAACCAGCAAACATAACTTGGGGGCTCACCTGGCAGCAAATCGGAATCGCCCAAGATACCACTATTAGATATTATATGAAGCACTATGAATCATAATTAGTCATTAATAACTTCAATTCACACTATTACTATGTTTAATCCCGGGGGAAAGGGATCAACTAACCCACTATTCACCAACTCTTCATATTCTTCAACTATTAACATCTCTGAACATGAACTCGAAACTTCTTTCTGGAAAAACAATGCTTAAGCCCCAACTATTCCCCCACCATCCCCACTCTTAAGGGCCCAAGGGCCATCCTCACCAGGGCGCCGGGGCGCCCAGGACGGCTGCATGTTGGACCCCCGTGCGCGCCTCAGCGACTGGCTCCGGGACGGCGACGTGGTCTCGGCCGTGGCGTCGGAGCCGCGGCTGGGCGCCACCTACGGCGCCTTCGCGCTGTGGTGCTCGGGCTGCGGGAAGGTGGCGCCTTGGTGATGAAACCATGGGGATGGATTTGATGGTGATTTTACCCATAGGATCCATGTATGGTATATATGCTAACATTTGGGGTATATTGATGGTAAATGTTACCACAATTATATAGCATACATGGATCCTATGGGTTAGGAGATTTCATGGTGTTTTTGTTGGGGATTTTAAATACTTCCTGGGGATTCCTCTGAAAATCCCAACCGCTAGCGGATGTACAAAGGGATTTTGTTGTAGAGCTATTTTAGGTGCGCATGACCCTCAGGTTTGGGATGTTTTAGAGGGATACTTTGGGGCAATAGTACCCTGTATCAAAAAACATCCCACCCGTCAACGCCACCACGCTAATTGGAGAGAGGATGATTTTGAGAGACTTTATGGTGATTCTATGGGATTTCATTGGGATTTAATGGTGATCACCTTTTATGGTGTACGATTTCATGATGATTCATTGTGTTTTTCATCAACAATCAATTGGGTATATGGTGGTTCAAAAAGTGGCTAAGTGGTGCGATTAATGGTAGTTCCATGAGATTTTATTGGTATTTAATGGGGATATAATAATTTGACGGGATAATATCTGGATACATCATGGATAATTAATGATTATTAATGGAAAAGAATGGACCATAATTGTCAAACTTGTGAATATAAAGATTTGATGGTGATCTAAACATCGGAAACGGTGGCTAAACGAACCAAACATCAGATACGCTTGGGATATTGTGGGAATATGAATCATAAATCTTGAATGATGGCGATTTCATGTTGCATTAATGGGGCTTTATATTGGTATATACAATTATTCATAATGGACATATGCCCGACCATGGAGGTTGAGGGTGGTAGGATCGGTGTTGGGGATGACATGGTGATTAAATTCATCGGGATGTGACTTTATTGTCATTTGATGTACCCTCTGGTAAACTAACATAACTATGAGAAATCACCATGTTTAATGGGAAAATCCACTATGAATGGCCATTTTCAATAGCTATGTTAAATTACCAGAGGGTAATTTGCCCAGCTCAATCCCATATGCTCCATGGAATATGCACACCAACATTTGCCCAAAAAATAAAAATCACCCAGTTTTGTAGGTTTTTATATTCCAGCACCATGGAGCATATGGGAATCACAACCACCCCCAAAATCCCCCAGGTGACGTGGGGTCATCGTCCGTCGGGGGGTGACAGCGAAAAGGTCCAGGACGGGCGACCGCGGTTTCTCCTAAAATGTCCTGTGATTCCCAAAATTGCTATTGAAACTCTATACTAACTAGGTCAATCTGAGATGGGTACTTTAATCCTTTAGGCTTTTGGTATTCATGGGAATATCTACTAACCAGCAAAAAAAATGATTTGTCGCAAGGTATCTAAGATTGGCAATGTAATTTGGAGCTATGAAGAAGTACAAGGTGAGGCCACCATTTACGTTTTTTGTTGAACTGTTGGGGTTTATGAAGGATATATAACTCCTGCTGATGGCTTTATAAACCAACTTATAAATGTGGGGCCTCGCCTTGTCTGGAATAACATAGTACCCTCTGGTAAACTAACATAGCTATTGAACATGGCCATAGAAATAGTGGATTTACCCATGAATAGCATGGTGATTTTCCAGTTCGCAAACTGTTAGTTTACCAGAGGGAATACCATCATATATCCCATTAAATCCCATTAAATCACCATTAAATCCCATTAAATCCTATTAAATCACCATTAAATCACCATTAAATCACCAGTAAATCACCATTAAGTCTGATGAATCATGGGATTTTGGAGTGCTCTATGTGAAAAATCCCACTGCTTAGCTAGCCTTTAGGCTATCTTTAGCAGCAAAAAACTGGACTTTGACGGATACAAGAGAATCAAGAGATGATATGAATTGATGTGATATATGATGGTATATGATCAGATATGAATTGATATGATATATGATGATATATGATGATATATGATGATATATGATGATATATGATGATATATGATGATATATGATCAGATATGAATTGATATGATATATGATGATCTATGATCAGATATGAATTGATATGATATATGATGATCTATGATCAGATATGAATTGATTTGATATATAATGGTATATGATCAGATATGAATTGATATGATATATGATGATCTATGATCAGATATGAATTGATATGATATATGATGATCTATGATATGATCAGATATGAATTGATATGATATACTGTATGATAATATATGATCAGATATGATTTGATATGACATATGATGATATAATATCAGATATGAACTGATATGATATATGATGATATATGATCAGATATGAATTGATATGATATATGATGATATATGATCAGATATGAATTGAAATGATATATGATGATGTATGATTAGATATGAATTGATACGATGTATGATGATCTATGATCAGATATGAATTGATATGATATATGATGATGTATGATCAGATATGAATTGATATGATATACTGTATGATAATATATGATCAGATATGATTTGATATGACATATGATGATATATTATCAGATATGAATTGATATGATATATGATGATATATGATCAGATATGAATTGATATGATATATGATGATCTATGATCAGATATGAATTGATATGATATATGATGATGTATGATCAGATATGAATTGATATGATATACTGTATGATGATATATGATCAGATATGAATTGATGTGATATATGATGATATATGATCAGATATGAATTGATATGATATATGATGATATTTGATCAGATATGAATTGATACGATATATGATGATATATGAGCAGATATGAACTGATATGGTATATGATGATATTTTATCAGATATGAATTGATTTGATATATGATGATATTTGATGATATATGATCAGATATGAATTGGTATGATATATGATGATGTATGATCAGATATGAATTGATGTGATATATGATGATGCATGATCAGATATGAATTGATGTGATATATGATGATATATGATCAGATATGAATTGAAATGATATATGATGATGTATGATCAGATATGAATTGATACGATGTATGGTGATCTATGATCAGATATGAATTGATATGATATATGATGATGTATGATCAGATTTGAATTGATATGATATACTGTATGATAATATATGATCAGATATGATTTGATATGACATATGATGATATATTATCAGATATGAACTGATATGATATATGATGATATATGATCAGATATGAATTGATATCATATATGATATACGATCATGTGTAGCTATATCATGCTATATCTTATTTAAAGAGACTCAGCGGCACAGGAGTATGGTGCACCCCACACTTTTTCGCGATAGAATCCCTATGATTTGGTTTGCTTGGTTATAATTTATCATTGATGTTAGTCAAACCATCATTTTTTCTTTGTTGACTCACCATCTTGGATCAGTAAACCATCATTTTTGTTGATTAAACCAACATGTTTTTGATTTGACCATTTTTGGTTGGGTCAACCCTAAGAAATGTTCATTTGTCCAGATGGAATCACCATTTTCCTATGGTTAAATGATGGTTTAATGGGATTTAACCATTTAACCATCCCATTAAACCATCATTTTCCGAGGTTCAACTAGCATTTCCGTTGTTTTTTTTTCTCCCTCAGGTTTGGCCGTTAATGCGCTGTGCACTATCCTTGTACATAAATTGTGAACACATCTTCTAAAACTTGAGGATAGTTCCTGCACAAAAGGTAAATCAGGCAGGCGATTCCCGTCCACTGCAAGGCCAAGAATCTCATCGAACAAACTTCTGAAGTGATTACGCTATCTGCTCGCAAAGCCAATAACCTCGAATCTTACGAAGTATTATCATCCTATTAGTGTCAAAACTATTTTTTTTGTCATAATTTCAAATGAGTTTCATAGAGATACAGGCAACGCCGAGAAGCCTCGTTGGGTTTCCTGGATTGCCTGTGCTGCCTTTGCACGGATCTACAATAGGGTTTCTGTCTCAGAGGCAACTCCAATCAGCTCTGCAATCTCGCATTTCCGTTGGTTCAATCACATTTTTTCTTGGTTCAAAGTTAAATATCCCGTTAAGTTAGAACTTTTCTTATAGAAATCATTCTCAGTGTCTTATTTCATCACCCATTCTCTGGTTGGTGGTTTGTTTCACTTTTTTTTTATTTGTTCATATATTGGGAAGTTCATAATCCCAACTGACTTTCACTCCATCATGTTTCAGAGGGTTGTTGGCGAAAAACCACCAATCACCTCTTGTTGGCCCCAAGTGTTTTCCGACCTCCAAACGTCCCAGGACTTGTTGGAGAACGTGGAGCAGATCCAGGCGACCCACCGGGCCTTTGCGGCGATCCTCACGGACGGCCGCGTGGTGGTTTGGGGCGACGCGGAGTACGGCGGCAAGGCTCCGCCGGGCGACCGGCTACGGACGCCCGGCGCGGAGAAGGAGATCGAAGGATGAAGGAAAAATGATCTATATCTGGTTGGTGAGTTTCAAACATGACTTTTATTTTCCATATATGGGAAAATCCTTCCCATTGACGAACTCATATTTTTCAGAGGGGTAGGTATACCACCAACCAGTGAATAGTCTATGGATATTGTAGAATATGGTGGGCATATTCCCGTGAATTTTCGAGTTACCCTCTGGTATAACATACATTACTATGGATTGTTTTGGGATAACATGAAAGATCATACAATGTGGGGCCCCCAAACGATAGCTAAGTTGGTGCAAATAACTCCAATCACTACGGTTTATGATACTTACAACTATAGTTAATGGGGTTTATAAACCATCTTATAACTAGGGGGCCCCATTGTAGGGATATTCTAATGGCATATAGTGACTTAACCGAAATGGGGATTTTTTTCTGGGTATATGGTTGATAAGGGTAGATGTGATATACCCTCTGGTAAACTAACAAAAGAATATGAAAAATCGCAATGTTGAATGGGTAAATCAACTATAAACATCTATAAATGGGCCATTTTGAATAGCTATGTGAAAATTTACTGGAGGGTAAATCTAGGACATTCTATGGAATATAGTGTGTTGTTTTTTTAGGGGATATACTGCTATATTATGCGATATTTGGATCTTGATGGGGATGGGTCAAAAATGGTCAAAAGCCCGGTAGCGCCCTTAAGGAATGTGAAGCAGATTCAAGCTACACAGTTTGCCTTTGCTGCGATCCTTTCAGATGAGAGAGTTGTGACATGGGGCGACGCACAATGTGGCGGTGACAGTTCTGGAGTACAGAACCAGCTCAGGAGCAGAAACAGCTCGTGTGAGTCTAACGTCATTTTGGGCTACCTTCTGGTAATGTATGGTAGTTTAACATAAAACAATGGAATCTATGGATAAAATTACCCTCTGGTAAACTAACATAGCTATTGAACATGGCCATTTATAGTGAGTTTTCCCATTAAAAATGGTGATTTTCCATAGTTATGGTAGTTTACCAGAGGGTAGTGTTTAATAGGTAAATCATCGAACTACATGGGCCGTGTATACCATATAGCAAACTGTAACTTAAATTCCCAGCGGTCCGTTTCCCGTTTGACCTTGCAGAGATTTTTGCTCGACCCCCTGGCGTGTTTTCCTTTTTTGAACTGAAGGGTTATACCGATCCACCATGGTGCTGGAATATAAAAACCTACAAAACTGGGTGATTTTTAATTAGGGCAAAGCTTGGTGTGCATATTCCAGCACCATGGAGCATATGTTTTTTTTGTTTCATGCTTTTGCGAGGACAACGCATGTCAGCCCGGGAAAAACATACCCTGCAGGACTGTGCAGCGTATTTGTGCAACGCATTACTCTTTTGCTGCTATCCTGGCTGATGGATCTGTGATTACTTGGGGACACCAAGCATCAGGTGGTGACAGTTCTGCTGTACAGAATCAGCTGTCGAATGTCAAGGGCATTTGGGCCACGAAACGGGCATTCGCTGCCATCTTGCTGGATGGATCTGTGGTTACATGGGGAAATCCGGAGTGGCTTGGCTACACCATGATTTTCATGATTGTACATGAAGAGCCCTGAATCATTACAATTAGCTGCAGATTTCGGGGCTATAACCTTTCCTGTATATTAGATTAGTATAGACAAAAAAAACATCAGATCAGTTTCGTGAGTTACTTGCGAAATCGATGCCGGTTCCCCGAGGTGAAGTTAATTTTCTTGTTCCGAAGGTGAGAAAATCACCGGTTTTTCATCGATGCCATGGTGTTTTCATCCGATTGTTCGAGGACAATGTTATAACTCAGACGTAAAACGAAAACAGCAACGTTTTTCGGGCATTTTTTGGTTGGTGGATTTTCAAGGTATGGTGGCGACAGCTGTGAAGTACAGCATGAACTCATCAACGTACAGCAGCTTCAAGCAACAGGCCGGGATCCGACAAACAGCGAGTTAAGGTGTGTTATGTGTGTTACTGGCAGCCAGTAACAAATCGAAACAGTGTGGTTTTGGGAATTTGGTTTTGGTTGGTTCTTTGATGTTCTTTGAAATGACTGTGTCATTTTGTTTGGGTGAAACTGTGACAAAAACAAGCATTAAATCGATGGTGGTTCGGCAGGTTACACTGTTGAATCACGTTAAATCACAATAGGTTTGCCTATTCGAAACTATATAATCACCTTTTGTTTACCAGCTTGCAGCTTACCAGATGTTTCTGCTCGTGAAATCGCATTTTGAGTTGTTCATGTTTTAAGATTCCCGTTTTTCAGAGGGTCAAATTATGTTAAATCCCATAAAACATCCAAAGAAACATAGTTAGTTAGATGAGTCCCAAAAGACGCACAACACATATATACATATATATATATATGTATAATTATATATATATATATATGTGCCATGGCCAAAGATGGATTGTACACCCATGTTAGGGGAATTCTCATGAATCGGGACAAAAATCTATCCCCATTCTGTATAATCGCATGGGATGGATGAGGGATGACCTAATAATTATTTGTGGTAAACCCGATACTGGTTGGTGGTTTGGAACATGGAAGTTAATGGTGGTTAATGGTGGTTAATAGTGGTTAATAATGGTTAATGAGATATCTGGTTGGTGGTTTGGAACATTTTTTTCCATAGATTGGGAATAATCATCCCAACTGACGAACTCATATTTTTCAGAGGGGGTTCAAACCACCAACCAGCGATAATAAATCATCCCCAAAATCACAAATGGGTTCTACAAACCATCCCCCAAATGGTAGGTTTATTATTGGGTTTCCCACATTGCCATCTTTAGACCGTGGTCCATATGAGCGCTGTTCAAGACCCCTTTTGGTTGATGGTTGATGATTATAGGAGATTATACTAACCATTCTTTCGGGGATTATCATAATTCATTTTAGGGAAATCTCAGTAACCATCCAGTAAAATGTAATGACGTATTGAACAAGGCTCATACAATGTGGGGTCCCCAAACGATAGCTAAGTTGGTGCAAATCACTCCAATAACTACGGTTTATGATACGCAAATAACTATAGTATTCATGGGGTTATAAACCAACAAACATAACTGGTGGGCCTCACATTGTATAATGGAATGACATAGGGTATTGAACAAAGATCATATGGAGGTTTCCTAAAATAAAGGTACCTTCAAATTATCCATTTTAGTAGGATTTTCCATTATAAAACCAAAACAAAAACCATCCAGCTATTGGGATGCCCCCATTTGAGGAAACCCGTATAGGCAATGCCTCCATCTGCCACCTGCCACCTGCCGATGCCTCTCTAGGCCACGCCTTCGCAGCGTTGCTGCAGGATGGCACAGTGGTAACCTGGGGTCACGCAGCTTCAGGCGGTTTCTTGGTGTTTCGGGTTGTTGGGGAAGGAAAAGGGGGTCATTGTAGGCCATACCCAATAGTACATACATACATACATACATACATACATCCATACATCCATACATCCATACATCCATACATCCATACATCCATACATCCATACATCCATACATCCATACATCCATACATCCATACATCCATACATCCATACATCCATACATCCATACATCCATACATCCATACATCCATACATCCATACATCCATCCATCCATCCATCCATCCATCCATACATACATACATACAGTAATGTATATATATATATACTATGACAACACTTGGGAAATTAACCACAAGTTGCTGGCGTTTTAATGCTGTTTTGTCATGGGATTAATGGGATTTAGTGTGCTTTCAATGGGAATTTATAAGGATTTACCTTCCGGTAAGCATACACACAAACATTGAAAATCCATGGATTGGATCATTTCCAGCAAACCATTGATTTTCTATATCTATGTCAATTTACTGGCATATGTTTTTTTTGTGGACACAATATATGTGGTTTGAAGTCTTTGCCCATGTTTACCCTTACTGGTGCTTGTTTACCCTTACTGGTGCTTATTAATGTATTATTAATGGGGGAATTGGATGATTATTGATAGTTATTGTGGATCATTCCCTCATTCCCTGCTAAGCACCAGTAAGTTTGGTACAGTTCAGTAATCATGGCTGGGAAACTCCCTGACAATGCGTGGCCATGCGTTCTGATTTACTTATTAAAAATGGTGATTCAATGGGATTTAATGGGATTTTAATAGTGATTTAATGGGATTTTAATGGTGATTCAATGGGATTTAATGGGATTTATTAGGAGATATGATGGTATACCCTCTGGTAATGGCTGTTACATTATTGAACATGGCCATTGAAATTGTTGATTTACCCAGCTACATAGCATGGTGATTTTCCAGTTCGCAAACTGTTAGTTTACGAGAGAGTATGGGGATTAATTACCTTATATAGATCATATGGTATATATCATATATATCATATATATATAATAAATAAATAGTACTTTAACTATCAACATAAAACCACCATGTCTTGCTGGCTGGTTAAATCCGCATGAACTCTGTGAATCCACATTTCTGCCAAAACCACATGCTGGCTGGTTAAATCTATATTTTAACCATGGAACTAACTAGCTACCCTCTGGTAAACTAACATAGCTATTGAAAATGGCCATTTATAGTGGATATTCCCATTAAAAATGGTGATTTTCCATAGTTATGTTAGTTTACCAGAGGGTATTCACAATCTATATGCTAGTTTATGCGCTCGTTGGTTAGATATCATCATCTCTGGCATCTGTTGCAAGGTCTGGCAGCTGAAAAGTTGGTCACGTTCCAAACGAAACGGCTCAGGTGACAGTCGCAGAGTAGCACATCGACTGAAAGATGTGACACTTGCTACGAAGATGTGGTGTCATTCTTTGGAGGTAAACATACAAATGATGTGGAAGACCATGAGACCTCGGAAAATGATCTAGACATGGTGGGTTTGATGGTTGTTCCATACAATGTGAGGCCCCCAAGATAGCTAAGTTGTACAAATAACTCTAATAACTATGGTTTATGGTACTTACAACTATAGTTAATGGGGTTTATAAACCAACTTGTAACTGGGGGGCCCCACATTGTATCTATGTTAGTCTACCCTAGGCTAACTATCAATCTGGATAAATTATAATGATCTTGCCGTGACATGAAACTGGAATGATGGTTTTTTGAGGGGGAATCCTCCCCGGCCTTAATGAAATCGGAGTGAAGTATTCTCATCCAGATCCATGGAGACCGGGTTTACATGGCTAACTGCTTGGTGGTGACTGGAAATGTGGATGAATTCTATGGTAGATATAACGAACTAGTTAATGGGGATTATTTCATGGTTTATAAACCAACAAACACTGCTTGGTGGTGACTGGAACCATGGAATTTTGAATGAATTTCCATTCAGTTGGGAATAATCATCACAACTGACGAACTCATATTTTTCAGAGGGGTTGAAACCAGCAACCAGCTAATTGTGGGGATAAATATGGTTTATTATATGGGATTGGCATAATTATGAGGTAAAATTAATTATCAAACAAGGGAGAACATGGGGATGTAGAAAAAAAACAAAATACCCCAAAATGTGTCATCAACCATGAAAATTGGAACTGAACTAACTGGAGGTTGCTGGGAAAAGCATCGGACTAAATGGGGGATGGTCCATTCCTATGTTTGATTACAGGATGGTAATTGGGATATATCTTTCAGATATAAACAGGATATAATTAGGATGAACAATATGGATTCACCAAGTATATGTCCCAAATAATGCCAATTTCATGGGGATATTATTCACTGGGATATTTGGGATATAGTGGAAACATAGGGCACCCCATTCCATTCATTGGTTGATCTGTGGTCTCCCCTATTTTCAGACACCCAAGCGGTTGGGGGAACGACAGAATGGGATTGGGATTGGGAAGATCAGTATAGGTGAAATTTGAAGTTACTACTATGATATAGTATGATGCATAAGGATGCATATGGGGCTGTCGAAAATGGTGATACCCCAATCGACTATTTTGATGGGAACACGGTAATAAGGTTTGGGGTACCCTATTTTTAAGACAAACCCATATCATGGACATGTGTGATGACCAGCTACAGGGAGTTCTTCGCATAGTCTAGGAAATACCGATGGGCATAGGGGCAGGTTTTGAATCAGCAGAAACGGGCATATTCACCACGAGAGATGTGCTGCTGTGTTCTTGTTCACCCTGAAAGGTGGGGCTTTGACAAACGCAAACGGACATTGAATCATACAATGTGGGGCCCCCTGGATAGCTAAGTTGGTTTATAACTCCAATAACTGGTTTATGATACTTATAATTATAGTTAGTGGGGTTTACAAACCATCTTATAACTGGGGGGCCCCACATTGTATGAAAAGGTTGTCAACTATTTCTTGAAAGATCGCAAACCGGTGATCTAAAGAAAATGGTCCCCCCACGTTCCCACCATTTTCTTCACCTTTCAACTGTTCGTCAACTCTCAGCAGCATCATCCCAACTGACGAAGTCATATTTTTCAGAGGGGTAGGTATACCACCAACCAGTCAGCCGTCACTCAGGAAAACGCTCTACGCCAGCGAACACGCCTTTGCTGCCATCACCCACGACGGAGGGGCCGTGACCTGGGGAGATCCGGCCTGTGGGGGTGACAGTTTCAAAGTGCAGGATCAGCTGAAGACGCCTGGCACCGCGAGTGCACTTGGGGGGAGCGGGCAGCTAAGCTAAGCTTGGTCAAATCATGTCAAATCCAGCCCTGTTGGTCAGATTTCCATGTGGTTTTTGTGTCCAGTTCCGCCAGTTTTTCTTGCTGAATTTCCATGTTTTCTTGGTCAGATCCCCAATTTTGCTTGGTCAGATTGACTATTTTTTTTGGTGCGAAAAGTCACTCTTGTTGGATCAAATCCCAATTACAACTGGATTTTGCGTTAAGTCACTATTTGATTTTATGGGTTAAAATGCAAATTCTGTTTATTGGTTTGTTGGTATATATCCTATTAAAATCCAATTAAGCCATTATATATACGAAACCAGTTAAATCCAAATTATATATATCTGGTTAAATCTCGTTATATCACCATCATAAATCATTAGATCATTATGATCAACACATATTTTGAAGCACCATTTGATGTTTGTGTTTTTTTTGCTAACCCCATGATATTTCGAGTTTGTTCCTCTGAATATCCACTAAAAACGATATCCCCAGTGAATGCCCGATTTGTTGTGGCCTACCCATTTTGCAGTGCCTATCATTTCTGCACCGTCCCATTCCGTCCCATATCATCGTAATGAATCATAGCATAGTAACCTGGTTGGTGGTTTGGAACATGATTTTTATGACTTTCCATTCCGTTGGGAAAAATACTCCCATTTGACGAACTCATATTTTTCAGAGGGGTAGGTATACCACCAACCAGTAATGATGTATGATGGATCATGAGAAGTGATGTGATGTGATGATATATCATGTGATGTAATAATGCAATGTACTGAAATGTCCCATGATTCATGATGCTCCCATTAGACCACTATATTCCTATCACCATTAATGTTTTTTTTGTTCATGAATACCCTTCAAAACAGCGTAGATAATCAGCATATTTTTGTCACCGTACAATCCAATATGTATGATTCATATGTCCATAATGTCACAATATTCTATGATATCACCATTGTTGATGCTTAAGTCACCATTGTTGATTGCTAAGTCACAAGTAAGAAACATTAATATGTTTTTTCACTATTATATACTATCATGCATTAGAATCCACTATGATCTATTATTACCCGGTCTATTACCCATTCTAATCCATTACCCTCTGGTTATTTAAGATAGCCATGGACGCCATGGTCCATTCATAGATGATTTTCCCAGCTAGAAACCTCCATTTATGGTTTGGATTTTCCATGGCTATGTTAGTCATAACCAGATGGTAATCATTAATCATAGGACATTAATATCATTATGCACATAATCATTATTAATGGGAATATGTTCATCCACTATTGATCTTATTAATGGGAATATATTCCCCATATACCCTCTGGTAATTTAACATAACTATGGAAAATCACCATTTTTCATGGGAATTTTCACTATAAATGGCCATTTTCAATAGCTATGTTAAATTACCAGAGGGTAATCATCATGATCTTCCATGAACATATCCTTGCATTGGACGTGTCGTGCCGTTGTTGCACCATGCCCAGTTCACCTCACAAAACACGGTTTTTGGCCCCAACAGTCTGGTTTCATTAGGCTGCAATCTGTCACATAGCTATGGAAAATCGTGATTTAGTTCGTGGATTTACCCATGAATAGCATGGTGGATCTTTCCATAGTTATGTTAGTTTACCAGAGGGTATATTATATGAACATGGCCCATTTACGATTTACCTATTAAAACTGGTGATTTGCCACAGGTAACTGGTTCATGGCTATGAAAAAAACAAGTAATTATTCATAGTATACATGGGGTGAATCTAAACCAACAAGCAGAACATTTGGGTTCACCTTAGATTCCCATTTAATCACTATGATATATATATATATTCCCATGAAAAAGACCCATTGAAGTTCAATGAAGATCTTTGAAGCACCATCTGAATGATGGGAATGAATCTTTCAAGATCGACCCGAAAGGAATTTTTATCCAGAGACCCAGCCGGAGACAAAGAAAGCAAAAACGCTGGTTTCCCCAACACTGCAAAAACACCTGAGCAGAATGTGATGAAGAAAAAGGCAAACTGTACGTGTCCAACTATCAGGTGCTTCTTCCAGCAAGAAGAAGCGAAAGGGCTAGGTGAGGAGCTTGATGAGGCAGGAAAGAAACCTCGATGACATTCCCAACATTCAAAAATACCCGTCAGTGTACAAGGACAGTAGAAGGCATTGACCCTTTGTGCGACCGCCACTGTGGCCCTTTCTGCGAAGTTCTTTGCGACTTCACTGGTTGGTGCAATGTGCAATCACATGGATGGAGTAATGCAATATACTGCATGTATAATATATGTGTATATAACATATATATATATATACGCTTTCTGTGCAGTCAAGTGAGTTTTGGACAAATCATGCTTCCTTTTTTTGGGAGTAATATGCACATTGTATGACCATTTTTAGGGGCTTAAGTCACCAGTATGGTTAAATCCCGACGTTCTGTGAGTAAATCCCAAAGTTCCTATTAAATCACCATTAGATCACCATTAAATGACTATTTCCATACGAAATATGTGATTCATCACCATTAAATCACAATGAAATCGATCAACAATTTCATGACGACGAACCATTCATCAACCATGATCACAAAATCTATGACATCAACATAAATTAACCATGATTCATCAAGATGATCATCAAATCATGATTCAACCATGATTCACCATGAATCATGAAACCTCACCATTCTCCAATGACTCAAAAAGAAAGACATCAGCCATGAAAACTCATGAAAAAACCATGAAACATCACCAATCACCCAACAAGTCATCCATTACCCTCTGGTAATTTAACATGGCTATTGAACATGGCCTATTGATAGTTGATCTACCTATTATAAATTGTGATTTTCCATAGCTATGTGAGTTTACCAGAGGGTAAAAAAGAACATCATGTGGGGGGTTCCATAAATGGGGGATACCCAATAGCTGGATGGTTTATTATTATAGTGGAAAATCCCTCTATAAATGGATGATGTGGGGGTATGGAAAATCCTATCAACCACCATCAAATCCCACCATTTTTGTTTGTTAAGTCACCACTTTCCATTTACCCAATAGCTGGATGGTGTACGATTCTAGTGGAACATCCTACTACAATGGGATTTTCAGGTACCCTCTGGTAAACAAACATAGCTATTGAGAATGCTGATTTAGTTCGTGGATTTACCCATGAATAGCATGGTGATTTTCCATAGTTTTTTGCACGTTTACCAGAGGCTACCCCCATGACTTAGGACACCACCACGGCGTCTCAGGAATGTGCTCCACATCGAAGCGACCCACTTTTCCTTCGCCGCGGTCCTGGCGGATCGCTCCGTGGTCACCTGGGGCGATCATCGCTCGGGGGGCGACAGCCGAAGGGTTCAAGACCAGTCCCTCGGAGCGCCGTTTTTTGGGGCCGGGCGAAGGGCTAAGGGACGGAGACGGGAGGCTCAACGGTGATGAAGGTCCCGGAGGAACTATGGAGTTGATGTGAATTTTTGGTGGGTTTTGTATGAAGAAAAACATGGGATTTCGATGATTTCACGATGAAAAGTCATGGGAAGATTGATGATTTAAGCAGCAAAAGGTCAAGGATTTCACCAACTTGGAATGTGACCAGAGATGGAGCTTTCACCCGTCTTACAACATATTTGTGGACAAAGCCAGTCTGCTCCAGAACCACAAGAATACACTGGCAATTGAACATGGATAAGGAAAAACACATACTATGTCTATGATTGTTTATGTTTACCCTCTGGTACATGAACATAGACTCTAAAAATAAATGAACAGAAAACCAATCTTTAGTGGACACTATGCAATCTTCCAAACCCCATCTGGCAGGGTTGTCATGTATATTTACTGGACGGCAAAATAACCGGGGGAAGCAATCGAATTCTCAATGGGTAGAGACGGGCGATGTGTCCTTGCCATGGTTGTTTGGATTGGAGTTTGCTCCATGTTTTTGGGGTTTGGATAGTCCCATCCTATTCCCATGATATTTCATGTTATCCAAAAATAATCCGATACAAGGTGAGGGTCAGTGATGTGAAGGCAGGAGTCGATCCAAGCATTCACCAAGTTATGAGCATCAACTTAGTGTAAACGGGGTCTCTACTTACAAATTCCCCATATATTCCTCACAAAGGCCATTAAAAATACCCCTATCCCAGCTTATTGTAGCTGTGTTTTCTAGGTTTCCCTACTATGGGTTGTCATAATCCCCAATAAAATTACAGGTTATATCGGTTCCTTTTTGTTAGCCAATCAACTAGGGTATCTTTACTGGTTGCTGGTTTGGAACATTTTTTATTTTCCATTTCAATCCATTTCATATATGGGATGTCATCCGAAACCCAGTGACGAAGTCCATCATTTTTCAGAGGGGTTGAAACTCAAAACCACCAACCAAATTAGCTAATTAACCATCATTAACCATAACCATTAATATTAACCATTATTAACAGGCTATCTCTCAGATATGCCTGTTCATGTGTTTAAATGTATCATGAATATGTCATGAAATCCGTGATTGGAACATGAATCATTCAATCCCCATGATTCGCCATGAAATCCGATATATTTTGTTTTTTTTTCTCACAAAAAAAAATGTTGAGAATATATCAAAGTGGTTGGTGGTGACTGGAAATGTGGATGAATTCTATGGTTTATGGTAGATATAACGAACTAGTTAATGGGGATTATAATGGGGATTATTTCATGGTTTATAAACCAACAAACACTGGTTGGTGGTTTGGAATATGAATTTTATGACTATCCATTCAGTTGGGAATTTCATCATCCCAACTGACAGAGTCCATCATTTTTCAGAGGGGTAAGGCAGCCATATGGGATCCCTTCCAGCAACAAGAATTGGAAAATAATGGGATATCTATAAGGCGGTTTTAAAGGAGATTCAATGTGTATAATATATATATATATTTATATGTGTGTACACATCTATATCTATATCTATATCTATATATATATAATTATATATGTACAATAATCTGATGATATCTGGGTAAATTATAACGACCTCACTGTTTTCGAAAGCCTGGAATCATGATTAATGAGGGGAAACGTCCCCAAATGGCCTTAATTCAGGTTCGTGAAATATTGTAATTTACCCAGCTGTACCATTAACATATGTGTGAGCCTGTGTGAGCATTCGGGTTCGTGGGCTGCATCTTGTTTCAAGGTGATCCTCCAGGGAAAGTGAACAGATTCGCGCTGAAGCATGTTGGTGGTTGATAAACCCAGACCCGCACATTATTGTTGCTATCCCATTATACGATATTATATAGCCTATATATGTGTTGCTTAAATTAAATACCGATTCGTTGCAAGTATCCCATTAAACATATCTCCATTTATCTCCCCATTTTGTTGTTGGGGGGTCAGCTTTGGTGTTGACTGACTAAGCGAAGCATGGTAGACATCATGGTTCGGCATCAATCAACACATGTGCGTATATATATACATAGCTTCAACGAAAAAAAGGGGAGCCACAGACTTACACTTTCTAGTCATTTTGGGTACTTGACTACTTGAGCCTTTCTTGCCATATAGGTTTGTCAGAGGATGCCCCTTGCTGGCATACCATCATTGTTAAGAGCTTAGAGGGCAAGTTGAATGCATCTCACATTTTGGAAATAAAGTCCATTGGGGATAGTTACCCCTTAGCTCACCATCATTTGCAGTGATGTCGCGATGTGAGGTCGCTATAATCCAACCAACTAATCCCCAGGATTATATCCAGTAGTACCCCCATGATACCACAATTATTGTTGGTTGCATCACCATGTTTGTTGCTTAATGGATGACCCGGGGACAACAGGGAGGACCTGCAACATAAATCGGAACTAACGGCCGGTCCTGGAGTTTGTTTTGTAACCGATCTTTTTGACATGGCTCAGTGTCCCTGAGCATCCCTGAGCCATGCCTTACCGGTAACTTACCGGTGCGCGCCGCGCCAGGCTGCGCAACGTTTGGAAGATCCACGCGACCCATTTCGCCTTCACTGCGATCTGTCGGGATGGGACGGTGGTCACCTGGGGCAAACCCGAGTCACCTGGCCTGGCCTGGACGGGACACGAGAGGTCAACGGTGGCTTTTCGTGGAGAATCAGCACTGGAATAGGTCAATCACCAGCTAAAAAGGGAATACCAACCATGGATTAACTATGGTTTATGGTAGATATAACGAACTAGTTAATGGGGATTATAATGATAATGGTTTATAAACCAACAAACACTGGTTGGTGCTTTGGAATATGGATTTTATATGGATTTTATGACTTTCCATATATTGGGAATAATATGGAATCATCATCCCAACTGACGAACTCATATGTTTCAGAGGGGTAGGTATACCACCAGCCAGATAATATCATAATTAAGATGATGAATGATGATTAATATTAATACAGTAATATATAATAATTCTTAATATATTTAAATAGGTAAATCAACTAGAAGCCATTATAGCCATGTCAGTTTACCAGAGGGAAACATGCTGGTTGAACCAACACATGCTGATTTGGCCAACGAACATGGTGAGTTAAGACAATTCAAGCATGAACAATGCAAAGATTGTATTTCACCCGCCTAATTTGGGATTTATGACTTCACCAAGCGTTTCAGGGACTGATTTAAATGGAAGTTCAGATTCAAAACCGGATATCATTCCACGAATCTTAAGTGGGTAGTAACTCTAGGTAACTCTAGTTGTTAAGGCCCCGTTGCTGTGGTTTATCCCATAATATATATATATCCCATATGCTCCATGGTGCTGGAATATTTACCAACATTTGCCCCAAAAAACACCCAGTTTTGTAGGTAAATATACCATACATTGAGCATATGGGTATATACATACACATATATTATACATGGATTATTATTGTTGTCAACTGTGCTTACCAAGCAGTGACATCCAGTGGCTTGATCCTCTCACGGGGAACTGTGAAGTCTTGGCACATGGATGGGGCGAACAAGAACAAGAAGGTATAGGGTTCCATATTTGTTTAACATATGTGTATATATATATACATAACATGTCAGACATGTCAATACACATATATAACCATATATATATGTATATACATACATACATACATACATACATACATACATACATACATACATACATACATACATACATACATACATACATACATACATACATCATACATACATACATACATACATACATACATACATACATACATACATACATACATACATACATACATACATACATACATACATACATACATACATACATACATACATACATACATACATACATACATACATACATACATACATACATACAACATACATACAACATACATACATACATACATACATACATACATACATACATACATACATACATGACATCGATATATATATATATATTAATTTTGGTTTTAACTATTTTGCATGGTCCGACATAATTGGTACCATGAACGACCATGACTCATCTTTGGGGGTTGAAACTACATGATTTCCCCAAGCTAAATTGGTCGGTGGCCTGCCAAGTTTGACTACTCGAGGGCTCACGTCTTTCAACCGTTTTTTTTTCAGGGTATCAACGAAACAGCACCAAGGTATGGCGGTGACAGCACAGATGTGCGCGAGAGCTTTCTGTGTTTGCCATAGGACGTGAATTTTTCATCGGATCCAAAGTTCGATTCGATGGATTGGATTCCCAAGGTTGATATCCTCATTTCTAGGTCAATCGACTGGATGGGTAGAAACTAGTCCGAATCCTAGTCTTTTGGTATGGGAATATCGAACCGTTCACCAGCAAAGATTTTTTTGTTGCAGGGTTCAATGAATTTGTTTGAGGGAAGATCGAAACCGGAAACCATAGATTTTCCATTAAATATGGAGTTTTCCTGTAAATTTTCCCTTAAACCAATCCATTGAAGGGTATCTATGTGTATCTAAGATTGGCAATGATTTTGTCTGAAGTGATTCCAGTCTGATGTTCCCAGGATCTCCATAAATTCGTGCATGGGTCATGTTCCAAGAAGTCGTATGCAACATGTGCCTTGGAATCCTTATAGCAGGTCGAGATTTTGCCGTTTCGCACAGTAGCCTGCCCTGAGTCCAAAAATCACCACATATTCTGGTTGGTGGTTTGGAACATTTGGATTATTTTCCCATATATTTGGGAATAATCATCCCAACTGACGAACTCAGATTTTTCAGAGGGGTAGGCTCAACCACCAACCAGTATTGCATGTGGATCTCGCAGCGTTTTGTTGGCTGCAGGGTTAGTCATGTCGGAGTTTTTGTTGTGGTGTTGAGGATTGGGATTATCTTTGTGTTTACCCTCTGGTAAATTAACATAGCTATGGAAAATCACCATTTTTAATGGGAAAATCCACTATTTCTATGGCCATTTTCAATAGCTATGTTAGTTTACCAGAGGGTACCATAGAGAACCACAACTCCTGGGAATAACCACTGTCAATTCATACTCCCCTGTCCAGCCCCTGTCCAAAATTTCTAGGTGAGGTTCCCCAGCTTCATTTGGTGAGGTAAACCCATTGAGAATAATAAATAGATAGATATACAGGATGGGCCCCCAAGATACCTAAGTTGGTTTATAAGTGGCTTAACAATGGTTTATGGTAGATATAACAATAGTTAATGGGGATTATAATGGTTTATAAACCAACTTATAACTCGGGGGCCCCATCCTGTATATATATATAGAGTTATATCATGTTGTATCAACTATAAACTTATATCATCAGTTATTCTCCATAAACATTGATATAGTTATAAAACATGTATAAAACAATAAAACATTTGGCTTCTAAACCCATTGAGAATAATTCATATTTATCTCATGTTATATCACCAAAAAAAAGCCAACAGTTAATCCAACTCAGCTATCATCAATCAGCTATCCCATTAAAAAAATCCGATAGTTTCCTGAGCCTCACCTCTGGCCAAAAAAGCACCACCGCACCACCGATTGGGGCACGTAATTGTTTGTCTCATAGCCATATCATAAGAAGCCCCCCCCATTTTATTACAGGAAAAACATGCGGAAATCCTTGGTTTAGTACTTGGTGGCTCATCCCACTTAGTAAGTGGGTTATAACCCCAGTGATTTACATGGGATAAGTAGGGTTAATCCACTGAAATAATTGGGGTGAACGAACCCACTTACGAGCCGTGGGATGAGCCACCAAGTAGATTGGATCATTTGTTTTAGGCTGGGAATTTTCGGGGGTTCAACCAACCAATGTGATCAACAACTGGGATTGCAACTCCAGCCGCTAGGCACTAGTCATACGTTTGTCCGTATGTCATGTCACAGGAGCTTTCCGGGCTTTCCGAGCCCAATGGACACTGTGAATATGCATAAACTTACCATCTGGTTATGACTAACAGTTCGCCGTGGAAAATCCCCATGCTATTAATAGGTAAACCATCTATTTCAATGGGCCATCTATACCATAGCTATGTTAGTCATAACCAGAGGGTAGATGATTGCCAACAACGGCCTCAAGTTGGTGTCCCTTTTTTTGGGAACTTACCATGCAGGGAAACAACACAATTCTAACATAGCAATGCCATTTTTGAAAACAAGACCATTGTTACCACATGGACATGAAACCTGAACTTCTGAATGGTGGAGAATTGATGTTCTGGTTGGTGGCTTGGAATATGTTTATTTTTCCATTCAGTTGGGAATAAACAGATCCCAACTGACGAACTCCATCATTTTTCAGAGGGGTAGGTATACCACCAACCAGTGTAAACATTTGTCAATTTCATAGTTTTGTCCTTTGTTCCGCGTGGTCCGCTGAGAAGCCAAATTTTTTGATATCATATGGATTTCGTCAGATGACCATCCATGAGGATAATCATAATGTTGGACGCTGATTGGTGTGCCCAAAACAATTTATATAGGTATACTTAGTATACTCTATTATTCAAAAAAATCTTGGGACAATGTCTGGGGAACCCAGGATGATCGACTTAAGGATTTCAGAAGATGCCAATCTAGGTTCAAACAATTTTCCTTTTGATCCAAGGATTAGTAAGGATTACAATTCATTTGAATCTACTTTCAATTGATTGTCTTTTATAAGTTAAATGACATATAAGTACGGATTTCAATTCATTCCCATCTATGTTCAGCTCATTTTTTTTAGAATCTAGAAGAAATCTATTGATAAGTAAGGGCTTCAATTGAAAACAGTCGCTTTCAATTGATTTTCCTTTTAAAGCTTCAAGCAATCAAAGGATCAGTAGATCAGTAAAGAAGTCAATTTACATCAATCGACTATCATGTGTTTTCCTCTTTTTGGCCAAAAATAAATCTAAGGAGAAGTAAGGAGTTCAATTCATATCAAATTGTGTTCAATTCATTTTCCTTTTGAACCCAGACAAAATCTAAGGACAAGAAAGGATTCCAGTTCAAATCAAATTGCTTTCAAATCATTTTGCTGTTTAACCCAAAAGAAATCGAAGGACAAGTAAGGATTCCACTTCATGTCAGTCTTCGTTCAATTGGTTTCCTTTTAAACCAAAAGGAAATCTACTGTAAGGGTAAAAAAGGAATCTATTTTATCTCAATCTACTTCCAATGGCTTTTCCCTTAAACCAGAAAGAAATCTAAGGACAAGTAAGGACTTCAAAAGTAACAGCTTTACGGCTTTACCCAAAGAAAGGTGGATAAAAGGTTTTAAGATTTTGTTTACCCCAGAAGTTCTTCAGCACAATAGAGGATCTGAGTCAATCATGCGGTACCCCCTTGAAAAAAATGTGTTGTTTTTGTTTTCTTAATACATGTTTAATAAGGAATTTAATCAGTCGGGGAAATTGAATGAAATTGTCGTTTTGAAGATTCAAAATTATTGGGGTGATATTAATAGGGAGGCTGGACAAAAGGTTTGTAAATTTCAGGAACAAAGTACCCTAAGAAGGGGCTGAACCTACAAGAACGTGTTTTTTCTGGACCATATTTGTTCCTCCTGAATAAATTGTGTCTGAAAAAAAGTATCACAATAGAGGCCATTCCTCAATTTCAGGAGCCTGAATTACTTTGAAAAAAATTACTTTACTTCGTGTGATCCCCACCATGACATTTCTACATTTTGTTACTGGCAAATCTTCTGGCATTTTATCTGACATATTTTCTGGCATTCTATCTGGCATATCTTCTGGCATTCTACCTGTCATATCTTCTGGCAGATGTTCTGGCATATCTTCTGGCAGATGTTCTGGCATATCTTCTGGCATATGTTCTGGCATATCTTCTGGCATTCCATCTGGCATTCTATCTGGCATATCTTCTGGCATATTATCTGGCAAATCTTCTGGCATTCCATCTGGCATTCTATCTAGCATATCTTCTGGCATATTATCTGGCAAATCTGCTGGCATTCTATCTGGCAAACATTCTGGCACTTTATCTGGCATATCTTCTGGCATTCTAGCTGACATTCTATCTGGCATTCTATCTGGCATACCTTCTGGCATTCTATCTGGCATATCTTCTAACATTCTATCTGGCATATCTTCTGGCACTCTATGTGGCATATCTTTTGGCGTGGATACTCGCGGTTGAGGTCCGGCAGGGAACACTGGGCGCGGATACTCGCGGTTGAGGTCCGGCAGGGAACACTGGGCGCGGATGGTCGCGGTTGAGGTCCGGCAGGGAACACTGGGCGCGGATGGTCGCGGTTGAGGTCCGGCAGGGAACACTGGGCGCGGATGGTCGTGGTTGAGGTCCGGCAGGGAACACTGGGCGCGGATGGTCGTGGTTGAGGTCTGGGCAGGTCGAGGTCCGGCAGGGAACACTGGGCGTGGATGGTCGTGGTTGAGGTCCGGCAGGGAACACTGGGCGTGGGTGGTCGTGGTTGAGGTCCGGCAGAGAACACTGTGGATCGCGGGTCGCAGTTGAGCAAGGACGACAAGGATGACAAGGAGGACGAGGAGGAGGAGGACGAGGCAGGAGGAGGCGGAGGACGAGGAGGAGGAGGAGCAGGAGGAGGAGGAGCAGGAGGAGCAGGAGGAGGGGGAGGCAACTGACATAAAATCTAACAACCCTCACCTGGCAGGTGGGGAACAACGCACTGTATTCACGATAGGATACCAGGACACTAGTAAGTGGACTACATGTTTCCATTTTTTGGATTCAGATTTCCAGTTCCAGTTACCATTTTCCAAACCAGCCATGGTGTGGGCAAAACAACTTCAATTAGGCATATGTATATATATATATGGGGATGGGTCAAAACCCTATCCCCCTGGTGAACATCAAAATAGCTGGTAAATGGATGTTCATCCCCCTAAAAATGGTATGTATAGGTATTGATCCATAGCCATATATATATATGTATATATACATATACAGTTAAGTGATATTTCTTCCGGTTGCTTCCTCAGTGTATTCAAATTGTCTCCTGCATTCGCCCCGTTCCGAACGTGCCGCAGGCTTCATACCTCCTCAGCGGAATGGTGTGACTCTTGACCCCGATATCTCCATTACCATCTGGATGAATCCTGTTGAGTTCATGGTGTTTTTTTAGCATCAGAAATCAACAAACATAGTGGTAATCTGCTAGGTCAATCTTAGATGGCTACTTTAATCAATGGGAATATCTACGTTCACCAGCAAAGACTTTTGATTTTGTTTTTTTTTGCAGGGTACCAAAGATTGGCAATGTAATGGCGATATCATAGTGATATTCATGATATCAATGGAACTACTATACCTGAATGAATTATTATTTTTTTATAAACCAAAAAGATAGAAGTGAGTAAAACCGAAAAACAGATCTTATGTCATGGGTAAACCATCATTATTAAACACACCAAATTATTTTGTGACGATTTAGGGGTGAAATGTCAAGTTGGAACTGAGAGCAATCTATCTGGAACTTGGCGTCCGGAGCGCGCATGGCATTGGGCTACATGTTTTTTATTGTACAAACGGCAATCAATGGCATCCAACTGAACATTGGCAATGAATTACTATAGCAATATTTGTATAAATGGCGGCTGCTACAGTAACTATTGATATATATATATATATATTATATATATTATATATATACATATTATTTTGATATGTATATATATATATATACTGTATACATAATTGGTGTTAATCATGTGATTCACGAGAGATGTCCAATAGTATCCTTTCACGTTTGGATACGTACCTTTTTTCAAACTAGCGGTTTGCTCATATCTTTGCGAACAAGTACCAAGGAGTCACATCGGCTGCCCACGTTCACTTCTGAGACAAAGTAACTGGCAGAAACCCGTTGCAAGCATCGCCAAAAAGGAATCAATCGCCATCGCAACTTGCGCAGGGTACTGTGTCAGCCATGGATTATTTTTCCTATCCGCATGTTTGTTTTTTTCCACAACTCCTTTTGGATCATCATCATCATATAGATGTATATATATATATATATAAATATACACATAGCAATTGTTGATTTCGCCGAAATGGAATTATCCGGTTTCTCACCTATTTGGGTGTAAAGGGGTGTGCATACATGACAATGATTGTACATGTTGCCTGCTTGTAATGAATGATCACATGGCCTTTCTCTCTGCTACATTGGTTGTGCGGATTGCCAATTCTGAAGGCGCTGGTTTCTTTGATGATCAACTTTAGATTTTGTTTGTTTTGCGTATTATATAATTTGTCTCCCCAAAATACATCAAATCCCAATTTCCAGTGTTTCAATCCCAACTTCTACTGATCCAGTTCTTGTTTAGTAGGTCAAATCATGTCAAGTTCTTGCGAAGTAAAAACCCAAGTCCAAGTCAAATCCTCATTTGCCGGCGTTAGATCCTTGCCCTCAATGAAATCTTCAGCTTTCAGTCATGTGCATTGCTTAATTCCTAGTTTGTATATGTGTGTATATGTTTGTATATGTTTGTATATGTTTGTATATGTTTGTATATGTTTGTATCATTGTTGATTCACTTATGCAAATGTTAAAAACTCTTACAGTACTGTATATAATACCTTGCAGCGTATCGGAAGAAACATGGCAAGCTCATATGCTGTTTTTTGTTTTGCCTGGGTTTAGTGACTAGTGATTTATCCCATTTTATCCATCAGAGCTTGACCATTTTATCCAAGAAACTCAGATTGATTGTTCATCAAGTGTTTTCCCATTCAGTTGGCCATACGAATCATTTGCTGGGGTGAACCAGAAGTATACGTAAAACATTGGGGATTTGCCTAGGGTTCATACGGGGAAGCGTTTACAAAGATGCGGAAAAACTATTGGGAAAGCCCTTCCCCAGGGGCCCACCACAAGGAATCAATCCGCTTATATCAAACTACCCCAAACCACCAATCAGCATATGAATGGCTTTATAACCATGTATTTCAGTATGATATCCGGTATCACACTGATGCTAATTGTTATTATGTTTTTTTTATTGTTATTATTATTATTATATATATATATATTCTATATGTACTATTGTTGGATCAACCGAACAATATATATATATATACATTATATATATATACATTATATATATATATACATTATATATATATAATTATGTATTTGTATATATATATGTGTAATTATATGTATATATTATATGACTGACTGTATGTTTATCCGTGTTTGATCCCTCCGCAGGTTCCGCCCGACGGCGACCGCGACGTGGTCACCATCACCTTTGGCACGGGAGAAATCAGCGGTGTCTTTGTCAAGGACTCCGAGAGGTTTTTTTGGTCCAGACCTGGGATGAATTTGGAGCAAACTGAGGGACAAAAAACCATCAGAAATGATGATACCCTCTGCAGGATGGGGCCCCCAAGATAGCTAAATTGGTTTATAAGTGGCTTAACAATGGTTTATGGTAGATATAAAATAGTTAATGGGGATTATAATGGTTTATAAACCAACTTATAACTGGGGGGCCCCATCCTGTGGTAAACATACAAAAAACGGATGGGAAAATCACCATTTTCAATGGGGAAAACTCACTATAAATGGACCATGTTTAATAGCTCTTTGATTAAAAATGCTGGATTTGACCAAAGCTGAGGGATGTGGTCACAACTACCCTTGGGTTATGTGCAACAGAGCCATGGTATAGATGTCCCATTTATCCATAGATTATGGGACTTATTATGGATAATCTATGGATAATCTATGGAATCTATGGCCCTGATCGAAATAGATGGTTTACCTAGCTATAACATGGTGATGTTCCATGGCGAAGTGTTAAATAACCAGATGGTAAATGGGGGTATTTGACTAACGAAATTGCCCATGATTTAGGCAGCATCAGGATCTAGCCCAGGGCCCGAAGATGGATGGTTTTTTTGGTCTTAACTCGGTCGGATTTTCAAGACCATTTAAAAAGGATCTGTCTGACTATGTACACTATACCCATGCAAAACCCAGCAAGTTGCTATTTTGATAGATAATATATATATATATATGGTAATAAGATATTATAAACCTACATTTGGGGGTAGCCTATTCTCAGCCGGCCACCTATTTCAGTGGATGTTTCAACCACAGATGTTCATTGATATGCAGGGACTTTGATTTTTCGTGTTAAAATCAAAGCCATTGATTTTGCAGTATCACGTACACATATACTGTGTATAATTGTTTGTAGAGATTATAGCTTATGATCAGCAATGAAGGCATAAGACTTGCCCCTTCTAAGCAAGAAGCACATCGGGATATCAGCACCTTGTCGACAGCTACGACGTGGACACCCAGATTTGTGGTGGTTTATGACCTCACAGATATCACAGCCATAAACCACAGTGAAACTGGAGCTTGCAAGAACCACAGCCTTGAAGGAGTGCTTGGTAGATGGTTTCATGCCACCTCTGGGATACACATTCGGAATCATTCGGAAGTTTATGGAGGTTTATATTTGGTGATTTGAGACAAGCACAGATTTTTTTTTTTTTTTTAAGGGGACGTTGCACTGCGTACGATTTTTGTTGTCTCTGCTAGTCTGTACTGGAAAAAAACAAGAATGTGTCTGGTATTAGACCCAGGTAGCATTCCCAAAAAGGAAGCTGTTGATGGTGGTGGTCATCTAGTGGTTCAGAACCTACCCAGCTTGTCGGATTCATAGCATTGCCATCATGATGCTGGCCATGGTGATGATGTTTGAAAGAATGATGAACCTATTCAGGAGTAGCTTGTAATTTTCCAAACATTGGAATTCATCACATCTCAATGAGTTCAGTTGAACTGTTGTTCAATATATCTACCAAACTATAGTTGACCTACTGCAAGAAGCGAAACTTAGCAAAGGATCCCCAACGCGGCCCCACTCTTCACCGGTAGTGTTCAAAGACCTGAAGGGGAGCCTCTCTGGAAAATTGCTCAAATACTTCATGGCCGCGATGTTATTCTGGTTGGTGGTTTCAAACATGAATTTTATTTTCCATAAATGGGATAATCCTTCCCATTGACTCATATGTTTCAAGATGCTTAAGTCACCAGCAAGCAGTATATACTTTATACACAATATTATATATAGTTATATATATATATATGTACAGTACATATATATATATTAATATATTAACATTTCCACCCATCATTTGGAGCTCCGAACGCCCTGTCCTGTCGGGAGAATCCCACCGGGAAAATCCATCGGTGTAGCTCCTGAGAGCAACGGCGTTCATGTTGTTTTTTTTTTTTCCACTAATGGAAAGTGCAGATAGTGTTGGAAAGTGTAAACTTAGTGCAGTTCCACTTATGAGTTTATAACATGTTTATAACATGTTATAACATGTTAATGTTATAACATTTTATAACATGTAACCAATAAAAAAAGGACCATATATGGCCATATCCCAAGTTATGGGGGTTAAGTCACCATGTGTTGTACCGTATTATACTCATAAAATCTCAACTGCAACCGAAGCCGTTTTGGCCGAACATTTCAGAAATGAAGGGTAGATCAAGCTGCGGCACAGCTTCCGAAGCTCAACTGAGCCAGTGGGAACTCAACTGGACTGCTATCATATTTGTTTGATGTGTTGCCTATCATTATAGATATCAAATCAACACAAATGAACAAAGTATTGTTCAAAATCCATGTTGTAGACCTTTGAATTTCCGTAATTATTTCCTAATTCATGATCTGTCAACCAAATTCGAAAACACATGTCTGAAGAACATACATATTTTTTAGATAAGTACATTTGCATTGTGACTCATCTGGATTGTTGGCTCATCTTTCACGAAGTCGTGAACCGCCGCCATGGCCACGCAAGTCACGCAAGTCGTCGAGGAGGACCTTGACGGCCACGGCCCAGAGGCAAGGAAGTGCAATACAAACAATACGCAGTCGACGTCGGCGGATTCGAGGAGATCCTCCAAGTGCCTTGACGCAAAGTTGTTTTTGCTGCCGATTGCAAGTGAATGGGATGTATAAACGTTTTTTTGAACTGGGGGAGCCTTACCTTATATATATATATACATATAGGTATATGTATATGTATATACATATACGCATATATACATATAGATACATATAGCATCATATATATATATACATATTGTGGAGGTTATGCAGCAATCCCAGTGTTGCCACCCAATGTATGTTTTATTGTTGGAGAGTTGGGTATAAAACGATGGTGATCTGTCATACTTCTCAATATTGTTGGGCGGGGGTAAACACGACCATTTGTTTCGAGGCAAAAATTGTTGGCCACCAGGAATAAGCAAATATGAGGGAGACTATCCTCCAGCAATCAACCAGGACAATGGACACTGTTTCCATTTTTTTCCTATTTAGTTCAATGATTTTCCCAGCGAACTAAACTTCATTTCGTTCGGCCATTTCCCAGCTAATTCGCCATGTTTGAGCGTTGGTGGATGTTGCTGGTTCATCTGTTTTCGGTCAACGACACACACACAATGACCTTTTGAAGATTGCTAGGTCAATCTTAGATGGATACTTTAATCCTAACTAGTCTTTTGGTATCAATGGAAATATCTACGTTCACCAGCATTTTTTTTTGCAGGGTATCTAAGATTGGCAATGATTGTGTACCAGCAAATGTTCTCCACCAATGTTGTTTTCCAGTTCTTGGTAAGTTGATGCGTTTTTTGAGCGATTGTTAAACCATTGGGAAATATGAAATATATATGTATGGATATATATATATATATATTGCTAATAAGTTTTGCTCATAATTTATGATGTCGGAAATATACGGGACATGTTAAGTTAGGACATTGTACCAGAATGATGAGGTCATGAATTATATATGTTGGGGTTGTTTTTCTTGCGTGTTTGGATGACCGACAAATGAAGGAAAGGTTCACCAATGATGTGCGTTGACCAACCAACATCGATGTTAGCGAGACAAACCAAGGACCTCACCGTCAGTAAGCGGGATTTTTCTCGTTACATGGTTTGGTCCAACAAATGCTGTATAATCAACCTAAGTTTTAGCAACACAATGGGGAACATGATGAAGAAACAATGCTATCTGGGTTTCAAGGTACCAATCATTGAAACCTAAGGTTTGTATACAAAATGTACATATGTTGCAAAATGTTTATCTGGGTTTCAAGGTACCTTATGGTTTCAAGGTACCTTATTTGTATACATTTGCATAGCCCATCATTTTGGTTTTGGACCAACCCTTATGGTTCTTCCTTGCCAGGTTCGCTCAAATTTCGGGACTGGGGATGGACAAACATGGGGCAACGCATCGGTTTTTCATGAGATCATCGTCTACCACGACATCACTGGAATGATTGGGGATGCGAGGGATAATGGGGGGTAATTGTCAAAAACAAACTTATTTCAGGCTGAATGAATTTTATTAGTTATTTTATTTATCCAGAGTAATGGAATATGGGGATGATGAAGCTGGGAAAAGAACCTATGATTTTTCATGAACATCTGCAAGTCCCAGGCATTTTTGCTGTGACCAGGGGGGTACCAGGCTTTTGATTTGATCCATATCCACTTTTTGGCAAACTGACGATTGTGTGGAGCATGCACCAACCAACATTGGGGAATCAACCAAGGGGTGTGAAGCCATGAGGTGGACGTGAACAGATGAGCAACAAAAACTGCGGAAACAGTGGTTTACAGTGGAAATACATTGCAGGGATGTTTACAAATATACAATAACATATTATTCTAAAGTTACAGACACAACATACAACATGATTTACATCGGCATACAGTAATATCCCTGTAGGAACAGCAAGCGAAAGCAGCCGTCTCAGGATGTCAGATTTGATGGATTATGATTTGGGTGCTCCCAGCAGGCCTTCTACCTCCAGGACTGGCTGTCCATGGTCCTTTCAACAAATCCATGGAAGAAAGGACTGGAAAATTTTCTTTGTTGTCTAACCATGTCTAACCCCTATATGTAAAATGTATGCAAGTTTTTTAATTCCCAGTCTTTTGGTGGTTGGTGGTTTGGAACATGATTTTTTTTGTTTCATTGAGTTGTGAATAAACAGATCCCAACTGACTTTCACTCCATCATGTTTCAGAGGGATAGGGCTCAACCACCAAGCAGATGATTATAAAAAACAATCATTAATTAACATCATCACAACCATTAATATTAAGCATTATCAACAGTATATTACCAACCAACCAAGCCCATAGGATCCATGGTGCTGCTATATATGGTAACATGGATCCCATCAATATACCCCCTTTATGTAAACGCATATATACCAGCACCATGGATCCGTCATGGGAATGGTAGGGCGGGCTCAAAACCACCAAGCAGTTTGGAACGCCAGGAAGACGGGCCTGGACCGCTCCGGCTTCCAGATGGCCGCAGGATCCGATTCACCGGGGGATTTCGAGGATCCGAAAAAAATGTGGAGTGAAAGGTGGCTAGATATCCCAGATGCGAACCATGGTGCTGGTATATTTAGCTACAAAACTGGGTGATTTTGTTCGGGTAAATGTTGGGATTCATATTCCAGCACCATGGAGCATATGGGTATGGTAAATCGATAGGAACATACCCAGTGAAGAACCTGGAAAATACCTGGATATATCATGATATATCTGTATATATATATGTATATATAGGTAATTGTTATAGGAACATATCTGGATATATCTAGATATACAACCAACAATATGATAATCGTGGGTGTGTCTGAGAATGGTTATAGTTCCAAATTGTGATTAGGCCTAATGATTAGACATCAACCTATCCGGGTAGCTTCGGGTAATTTGTTACAGTTTGCTATTGGAAATGGTCATAGACATAGTTGATTATTGTAAATGGTGATTTTCCAGTTCGCAAACTCTTAGTTGTTTGTACCCATAGGAGAACACACCTAGTGGCCTAGTTACTAACCGGTTTAAACCAGTTACGATCCGTGGGGTGATCCTAGAAGTGAATCTCTTGAGCATCCAAGAACTCCCTATAAACCTTGTTGCCCCGATGGCAGGACGTATCCTGGACGATGTGGCCAAATTTGCGGCCATGAGCGTTCCGCTCATTGCGTATACCAGACCAAGTGACATGCTGCGAAGATGTGTGAAATCGGCATTCACAGTTTATACTAGTGTTGAGTGAGGAAGATTGGGAAATTTCGTCAACAACAATGGAGGTTTCATGGGATTCTGTGGTGATTAGTGGGATTGACCAATATGAGAAGTTAACATGCTAACCAATAACCATGGAGCTTTACAAAATCGGATTCAATGCTGGATGTTTTCCACAGCTATGTTTTTTTTCCTATTTCATGGGATGGGATATGACTCTTGGAGGTCCTTGCACATTGCCATATTTGCCATACAACAGGTGACAAGTAATGGATCAAAACCTAGTGCCCTCTGGTAAACTAATATATAGCTATGAAAAATACAGTTTTTTTTTCTATAGGTAAATCATTAAATCACCATAAATCATCTCTCAATGGACCATTTGCCATAGCAAACTCTTAGTTTACCGGAGTTTTTTCCCCCACGTGTTCGCCACATCCCCACGGTACCAGAGGGAACCAACCATTTCAAGCTGATTACGGTAAGTATTGGTTCACAAGAGAAAGGGTTTTCATATCCCAAGTAATGTATGTATGTTTTTTGTCCATGACTGTATGACAATTTGAATTGTTTTTTTTGAACCATCACAGTTTGTGTGCTTTCCCCATGTTCAATCAATCCAATCTCGTGGTAGATTCTATGCCCCCGGTATATTCAATGTCAATATATGAGGATCCGCATATAGTATCCACATTTATCTATTATTTCCACAATGTGGGGCGTCCAAACGAAAGCTAAGTTGGTGCAAATCACTCCAATAACTATGGTTTATGATACGCAAATAAGTAAAGTATTCATGGGGTTTATAAACCAACAGACAGAACTGGGGTGCCCCACATTGTGAGGTATATTAAGGTATATGAATGCCCATTTCCTGCATTTGGCCATGAATAAAATGGTATCCCCGATGTTAGTTCATCACCATACAATCCCCATGAAATTCTCATGAAGCTACTATATTAATTGAAACAGTTCATTTGCCCGATGTGAATCACCATAGATTCCCATACATTTATCTCCTACAATGTGGCCCCCCCCAGTTGTAAGATGGTTTATATAAACTCCATGAATACTAGTTCGTTATTTGCGTATCCATAGTTGTTGGAGTTATTTGCACGCACCAACTTAGCTATGGTAAACGGGGTCCTCACATTGTATCATATACCATGCTTATGGGAGTTATTTGCACGCACCAACTTAGCGATTTGGTCAACGGGGGCCCCACGACTTGTATGAAATCCCCAACTCGTCGCTCGACTTCCAAGGTGGTATGAAGGAGCCCTTAAGCCCAGTCTCCACACCGCCGGTGAACCGAATCATCCAAAGTCGCTGCGCTGAGTCGGACCGCGGGGAGGGTCGACAGTTGGGCTAGGGATGGATAGCTAAGTTGACACACATAAGTTGGCTAACTGTTGGGTTCATGCGGGGATATGATATACCCTCTGGTAAACTAACATAACTATGGAAAATCACCATTTTCAATGGGAAAATCCATTATTTCTATGGTGATGTTCAATAGTTATGTTAAATTACCAGAGGGTAACTATATATTAATTATAAATTATAGTTTCCAGGAGTTTCTAAAAAGCATCACGTTTGGGGGCCTCGCCGTAGTAGGTTTATAGACCCATTAATCATTATATGCGGTTGTATTGTGGGATAATCATGGATAATAAACATAATAAACTATAGACTCTATTTTCATCTGGCTGGTTTGGAACATGAATATTATGACTTTCCATTCAGTTGAGAATCTCATCATCCCAACTGACGAACTCACTCCATCATTTTTCAGAGGGGTAGGCTGGCTCAACCACCAACCAGATTATTATTAACCATCATTAACCATATAATAACCATTAATATTAACCATTATTAACAGTATATAAAACCAACCAATGGTAGGTTGAGATCTCCACCTTTTTTCGTTCAAGTCTCAGGCGTTCAAAGCCATCCCGGCCCCAGCCACCCAACACATTTCTCCCAGGCATGCCTCTGACGGAGTTCTTCGGTTTACAGAAGGCGCCTATGGTGCTGCAGGACGGGCCCAGGGCCCCCAGGAAATTCGATCATTTGAGAAGTGAAATCCATTGAAATCCTATAAACATAAATGGTGAAATTGACATGTTCTATCTTTTTCGGGGCTGCTATGATTTTCTATGTATATAATATATAATATGATATAATATAATATAGTATAATATAGTATAATATAGTATTCTAGAGGCAACATTCCCATATTCAGAAAATCTTCGCATACCATGTTTTCATCGTACTCCAGACCTGGGTTTTGGTATGTTACTTTGATAGGCATTTCAGCTCAATCTGGAGGGAACAGCTGGCCCACGGCGAATCCACTGAATGCCCCTCCACAGCTTTCTATCCCCTATGTCGTTCCAAAGCAGCTGTGGATGTTGAATGAATTGAAGGCTGCTTTGATAAGGAAGTTTCCTCATTTGTCTACCGAAGAAGGACAGGGTTGTCAAAGGTAACGTTTTCAAAGGTCGGCTGAGTAAAAATTAGCTAGTTTCTTCCCGGGGACCTCACCCAAGGTGAACTCGGAAAAATAGAACCCACTGGGCACACCCACTGGAAGTTTGGGCTGGCTTTGGGATTGGAATTTTGGTTCTGGCCCCGAAATTTCCCTATGTGGTCTCTATACCAGCCACGCATACTCGGAATTCTTCGCATTCCACAAATTCTTCGCACTCCAGCGAGGGCATCGCACTCCACAGCTAGGGACGTGCACATACTGTAAAATCCACGCACTCTGCAAGATCTTCGCACTCCATAAAATCTTCGTACTCGGTGATTTTTCGTTTTTTCGTTTTTTTTTTTTTCGTTTTTTTTTGGGCTAAAATCGCCTGGAATCACGTTTTCTGGAATATGGGCAAGGTAGCGGTTTCGCGTGAGACGTCTGTAGTTTCACATACTATCGCATTCCAGGCCATTTTGGCCAAAAATGACCCCCCCCCCAAAAAAAAGCTCAGCAGGGTGAAATGTGATAATTTTCTGGTATATGATGGAAAAAACTGGTGTTGGATCCATGGGGAAGGTCGAAGGGGGCCACGCATACTGTTTTATTTTCGCATTCCAGAAAATTAGCGCACTCCAGGGGTGGCATCGTACTCTATCGGTGGAATTATTTTGCACGGAAGAAAACAGGATCGTCGATGATTTGTGTTCCCAGATCCTGTTGTGCAGAGCTCTTTGCGGGGCCACAAAGATGTCAAGAAAGATGGGGATGGCGCTGCTGATGAAAGGCCAGCCAAGCGTGCCAGAACATAAGCTTAAAGCTTATGAATTGGGCTTTGAGATCCTGAAAAGTGTAGATGACAAATTCCCATAAGAACATTATTAATCCATTTTTGGAAAGCTCAACATTATTAATTATGACATTTCCAGAAATTGTTGAAAGTAAGGATCTTCTTTGGGGAAGAACATGTGCAGTCGACAACGTACGTGCCAGAAGAAAAGGAGTACTTGGCAAACTGTATGAAATACAAATTTCACCTGAAAGGGGTCTTCGCAATTCCCTGAAATTTCCCAGCTATTTTGGCATGGAATATGTTCGGCCCTGGAATATGGGCAAGAAATTGCTAGAAGTATAGTATATATATATACTATAGTATGATAATAATAATATAACATAATATAATATAATTGTGTATGTTATATACATACACCCACGTTAAGCCCCATTTGACCTGCTTATCAAACAAACGTATCAATCAAATGTAGTCAGCCTAGCGGGTCCCTGTCTCCGGAAGTCCATAGCAACTCATGGAGAAAGAAGTATAGATCTGTGGAATTACACACCCCCAGTCTATAAAAAGATAAACATAAATGAATGAATACATATGATTGAAATAACTGATATCTATATACATACATATATGGTTATTGTATGTTATATATACATATTATATATACACATGTATACACACAGCTTCTACATCTACATCCTGGCCCCATCACCTCTACCAGGAGCTACCGGCTCGCTGCGTGTCGATGCCGGAGGAACCCAAGCGGATGATCGAGAGCGATGAGTTCGAAGAGGATGGCCTGTTGCACCCCGGAGGGGAAAGACGAGGGCCCTTTAAAACGATGGATCACATACCCTCTGGTAAACTAACAGTTTGCTATTGAAAATGGTCATTTATAGTTGATTTACTCATTAAGAATTGTGTTTTTCCATAGCAACATGTTAGTTTACCAGAGGGTAGGATCTTTAAGGTAAACTGACGGTGTTTTTTTGTTGGAACTGGCAAATTAGCCTTATTTTTTGTAAATCATCTAGGCTATGTTCCATAGCCAAGTGTTACTTTGCTGCAGGGAATGGACGTGCTGGAGGCATTTTGTTGGGAATATCATGGGGAAATTCTTGGGGAAATACGGCCACGAAAGGAAGAGAAACGGCAGATTCCAATCCGATGAGTTTGGGGAAACGGCCATGCGAAATCATGGGAAATGGCCACCAAAATGAAGTGACATGGATACATTAGCTATGCCATTTTGTAAGTGGGGCAAACATCACAAATACAACTACAATGCGGGTCCCCCCTAGATAGCTAAGTTGGTTTATAACTCCAATAGCTATTGTTTATGATACTTTCTTTTAAGTATACTTAAGTGGGGCAAACATCACAAATACAACTAGGTTATAACCGTGGTTTTTAACATTTCGGCACCGGGATGCACCCAAGCAGCCCAAAAGCCTATGGCGTTTATCAGTGATCTCTTGAGAAATGGCTAAGTTTTAAGCAAAAAAAATGAGCTATGATTTGGCGGGTAAAGCTGGGAAATATTAGGATATCTTCGCCAATACATAGTGGGGATATGAAAACTCAATGGGCTATATCATGACTTACAAGGTTTTTCGGGAAACGGCTGCAGACATGTAGCATGGATGTTGAACTTGTGAATGACAGCCAGAAAAGCAGCAAGGCCATCAAGAAAAACTATTGCAGGATGCAAAATATGGGAATGTTGATGAAATACCCTCTGGCAAACAAACATAGCTATTGAAAATTGCCATTTATAGTGGATTTACCCATGAAAAATTGTGATTTTCCATAGTTATGCTAGTTTACCAGAGGGTAATGCCAGTAAAGTTGTAATGAAAGCTCACCAGGGTTTTTTGATTTTATGCAGCGCAAACACAAGTAACTGAACAGATGACCGATGAGCGTTTGTTTTCCACCCAAACGGAATACATATGGTTTTATGTGTGTATATATATATATACAATGTACATTTATATACTATATACATACATATATATATATATATACTGCAGCTGTATATGTATACATATATATATATATGTATGTTAAATCTACAGGGATTCAGAAAATATATAATCATGAATCCTTGGTAGAAAGTAAAAACACGAGGTAAACATTCGGCAAGGGGCCCCACCTTGTAGTGAACTGTGAGATGTCCACATCCCCAGTGAAATCGCCATGAAATCTCATGGAAATCTGCGTTCGCCATAGAGTCCCATGAAATCATATCAAATCCCATGAAACCAGCATTTTTTCGGTTGGTTCATGCTGCTTCCCCATGGAAAAAAACTGGGTCCCCTGATCTGAACGGAAAGTTTTGAGTCCGAGGCACTTAGAAGGCGCAGAGCAGTTGGTGAGCAAACAACGCAGCAACATCAGCAACTGCTCGCTTCGCTCGGTGGGAGAGCTTTCGCAACAAACCTCCAGTGCTCAGTGGCAAGAACCCGAACAGGGTGTCACTCGGTGTTCGACGTGAAAAACGGTGGAATGTCAGGTGCGGATCCACTGGAACTCGACATTTGTTTAAAAGTAATATCCCAAATCATGGATTTGTTGGGGGGATATGTATATATATATAATTATATATATATATCCCTTTAAATTTTGGCCTAAAAAATAGATTCTAGACCTTATGATTCCTTCCGATTATGGTATACCTACCTCCAAGTTAGGTTCCTGAAATTGGCCACTGGAGTGATGTTTGTTGGTTTATATCGACTCAGTACCCTCTGGTGTCATCAAACATGGATCAATCAATGGCCATTTCAGGAACCGATTGATTGATGGTACCTACCCTGTATAAAGGTGGCTGCCATAGCCACCTGGTCTGCAACAAGTGTTGCCAGGAGATCCAGTGCAGTTCGGATCGCCTGGTAATGGACGAGAAGAAGATCGTTCACTCGAGTCTTCAATGTGAGAAGCTGAAACGGACAGCAGCTTCGAAGGTGTTGACATGGTGTGGAATATGTGTGTTTGGAGGCCTTGGGGCCGCCAGCAACATGAGAGAGGGCTACGGACAGCCTAGCTCTTCGTCTACACCGACGCCATATGCCAACACGACTCCAGAAGCTGATGCAGCAGATGCAGCTGAGGAGCACGAAACAGAGGAGGCAGCCAGTGAATAAGGCCTATTTTTGAGGCCTATGTAAGGGAATATCCCCACAAAACATGGCCTTATGTGGTACAGTACCTTCATTTCAGGATCCTGAAATTCCCATTGAACTATCGTGGAAATTTTTGACCAACTGAGAATGGAAAAAAGTAGCGACTGTTTAGTAGTGTGGGTATAATCCCATTGTGCCATTAACTATACGGAGTTATATCTACCAAAATCCCATGTCTCTTGGTTGATGTGCACCCACAGTCAACGAAATAAAAGTTATACATGTTATAAATGGTGAAAAAAAATGTTATAAATGTTGTAAATGGGCCCTTTCATTCCATTTTGGGGTTATAACCATGTTATAGCTGACTGACATATCACTGGTATATATGGGGCCATATTTTGTCGGCAGTTCAAAGGTCTTCCCCGTGTTCACCTCACCTGGGATGCTTTTTGAGGGTATATATCGACCCATTTCTGGTGATAGGGATGCTTTGTTGTGGGGTGAATCCCACATTCACTAGATTCTTAGATGGGATCTTGAACATATCTTTTTGGGGGTTGCTATATATATATCTGGTTGGTGATTTGTAACATAGCTTGTATTTTTTCATTCAGTTGGGAGTTTCATGATCCCAACTGACGAACTCATATTTTTCAGAGGGGTAGGTATACCACTAACCAGGTGGGGTGAATCCCACATTCACTAGATTCTTAGATGATTTAGATGGGATCTTGAACATGATGCTGTTTTGTTTGGAAAGTTATACAGCGACAATTTGACGGCCTTTGCAGTTTTTTTTTGAATAAAAGCTGGATAATTACATATATCAATGGATTGGTTTAAGGGAAAATTGAAACCGGAAACCATAGATTTTCCCATTAAATACAGGGCTTTCCGGTTTCAATTATCCCTTAAACCAATCCATTGAATATAGCGATCGAACATGGCTGGGCTCGTCGCCATGGAGATGGAGTTGTTCTCGTCCTCTGGGCTACACATACTGTGCCCCAAGGGGCCATGAAAAAATCTAGAAAATTCACATCTTTAACTAGAGAATACATCATTACATCTATATACTCTAATTTCATATACTGTAGTTTGATATAATTTGCGATTTTTAGGCATGTTTGTGATTCCCTCAGGACAAGCGGTTAATCTTTGCCGCGTTAGGAACGATTGGCTGAGGCGGGTTCATGACCATGGCTACATCAAGAAGTTTTTTTTACTTTAATTGTGTATGCTAATTTGGGCGGATACATAGAATTATATATAATAAGTTGTTAAATTGTTAACCCACCATTAACTGTATTCCAAAGATGTTCTAGTTTTTATTTGCCGTTGTTAACCCAACATATGAATAGTACCTCAAAGTGCCAGCCAGATGTGCCTAGCCCAAGTTTTCAGTTTGGGCTCTCCTAGCCCTTGGTGTGAAGGTATATCAATAGTATGTTTTTTTTTTAAGCTTTTGTTCTTTGATCATTCTGATCCAAAAAGGTGGCTGTTCCAGTGTTTGTTGGTTCATAAACACCCAGTGTTGGGAGATTTATGCACCAAGTAAGCTATCGTAACCTGGGGATGTATGCACCTTCTATTTCTATCTATGTTATTTGATTTGGATGGATGCTGTTCCTGTCACACTGCTATCCTCGATTCCTGTTGGTACCCAATCTTGATGGATGGCTACACACATTTCGTTGGTGACATCCAGAATCATCCAGATATCTGCGATATCTATTGGTAAAACAATATTGTTTGTTATATCATGTTGTATATCACATTATTGTCACGCATTCTTGGCTATAGGATGTTATAATTTACTGCTGCCGATTGTTGCTTTGACTGACTCCCATCACCATGGCCGGTTGGTGATTCTTGGTCTTAGTGTTCTACTTTTTTGAACTATTTTGTTTGTAGAGCACCCCCATTTTTTGGAACCCGTCTATATATATATACACACACACATACATGTGTGTCTATCTATCTATCTATCTATCTGTCTGTCTGTCTGTCTGTCTGTCTGCCTGCCTGCCTGCCTGCCTGCCTGCCTGCCTGTCTGTCTGTCTGTCTGTCTGTCTGTCTGTCTGTCTGTCTGTCTGTCTGTCTCTCTATCTATCTGTCTGTTTGTCTGTCTGTATGTCTGTCTGTCTATCTATCTATCTGTCCCTCTCTCTATCTATCTATCTATCTGTCTGTCTGTTTGTTTGTCTGTATGTCTATCTATCTATCTATCTAGCTATCTATCTAACTATCTATCTATCTATCTCTCTACCTCTCTATCTAACTAACTTGTGTTAGCGCATTCCCACGGGGGAAAAACGAACAACATGTCAGGACAGGCATCGTTCTCGGGGTTCAAGGTGTTGAAGCTAGAATTATATGTTATTATTATTGTTTATTTTCCTTTATTTTTTCAAATTAGTATTGCTATGTTTATTATTGTTGTACTTATTCTTGCCATTTCTTTTTGTTCATTAGCATTATTTAAGTTATCGTTATTTATGAATTGTTTATCATCCTAGCAAGCCGAGCTAGTCAAATAGCAACTTACTTAGCCTAAATCAACTACACACCCCACAAAATCTTGGTTCAGTCCCCATGTTTGCTGCTTTGCCATCGCCAAAAAACAAAAAAACACTTTCTGGTTGTTGGTTAGAAGAATGTTTTAGTGTTCCATATATTGGGAATTTCATCATCCCAACTGACTTTCACTCCATCATTGTTCAGAGGGGTAGGCGAAAAACCACCAACCAGCTTTGTTACAGCAGAACCTGAACCCATCATCCCATCACTGGAACATCCCATTCCCCCAGTTGGCAGATCTGAGGTGATCATTGTGGACTGGGATGATACCTTATTTCCGACCTCATGGCTGCCCCTGGACCGTTGGACCGTTGTGATGTCTTTAAAGGCTCCATGTGAATTACCTTCATGATGATATAGAAAATTTGCATATTGTACATGTGATGTATATATATAATATTATATATATGTGCATATTTAGACAATGAGATCCAAGTAGATCCAAGTAGATAGAACAAAATTCCCTCTGGTAATTTAACATAGCTATAGAAAATGGCCATTTATAGTGAATTTTCCCATTAAACATGGTGATTTTCCATAGTTATGTTAGTTTACCAGAGGGTATCACTATTGTTGTAAGGTCCTGGGCTGTTCAAAACCTGGGGATCCCAGATGCCTGCGAAATCGATAACGTGGAACCGATTGATTGATTGGTCAATGGCCATGCAACGGGAACCGATTGATTGGAGCTACCTACCATATATACACGGCCTATGTTTGACCTATGTAAGGGAATATCCCCACAAAATATGGTCTTATATGGTACTAACGTACCTCCATCTTAGGATCCTGAAATTCCCATTGAACTATCGTGGAAATGTTTGACCAACTGAGAATGGAAAATGGTAGCGACTGTTTAGTAGTGTGGGTATAATCCCATTATGCCATTAACTATACGGAGTTAACTATGACTACTTAGAAAATGAGTTGTTTATGTTGGCAAAAAGGACGATGGAGTTATTTTTACACATGTTTTGTTGATGTTTGCAAGACCTTTCAGATTGAGCCAGGAAACAGAATGGGAGGGTTGGAGATTTGCGCAGTTCCCGTTTTGTGGGGTTGGCCGGTGAAAATTTTGTTTGGTGAATATGGTGTTTAAATGTGTTGGATACATTATATATCCGCTGGATACTGTAGGTGACTGTTAGTAGGGGTAACTGTCCCAAAATGTCCTTATTTCAGGTTATACAATGAATTTTATATGTTTTTCCAGATTTTATGTAGCCATTAAATCATGGATAATCTCAACACAATGGTGTTGGTGAAATCTATGGGGTATCCATGTTCTGCATTATCTCTGGGAAAATCTAAGCATGATTCTGCCAAATGTGAAAGACCAACAGGAACCTGTGATTAAAAAACAAAAACACAAAAGTGTGTTTTCTTTATTTTTCTGTTTTAATACATACATCTAACAATTTTCCAATATCTATTCAACTTTATATGTACATATATATATATATATATGTGTGTTTAATGAAGCCTGCGTGCAGATGACCGCACTTACATGAAATATGTTTCTTTCTGGAATAGGAAAGCCTGAGCGTTTGAGCTATGTGGCTAAAACAAGCTTCAGCCATCCCTGGTTGCAGTTCTTTGTCAGATGTGTTTTTAGGTGTTCCCTTAAAAAAAAAGAAAACACACATATAAACAGATACCGGGACTCCACTGACGAGGGATCTCCAAGCCGCAGCAGTGGTTTACACTACCCTCAAGTTCGGCCCAGCAGACTTGTACAACGATGAGTCAGTGTACGTTGAGCTGATTGGAGCGGCAGCAGGCCACAAGCTGCCAATGAGTGCGATGCCCAGCGCTCCGCTTCCCGAAGGACGCTTAGACACAGCTCTGGCAGCTGGCATTCCAGTCACAAGCTGGATGTTTGCTCTGGCTCGCAAAGTTGTGGGCACTCTGTACGAAAGAGCCAACGCTTGGCTTGTCTCGGCACACTGCTTGGGAGGCACTGATGGACACCTGTCGCTATCCATAGCAAAGGCTGCAGTGGCAGACAACTTGGAACCAGTTGGCTATGAAATTCGTGGGCCAAATCGTCCGATGCACCCGCAGGAAGGAGCACTGGTTGGTCAGATCTACGCAATGGCGCACGGACTGGATTCAATCACCCTGTCTGCAGTCCTCGGGCATGGCCAAATTCAAATAACTTTGACACATCTTGAACCTAAATGAGTGACATGTTGCTTCAACGGCAGCGAACTATTTTTATGGCATCATTTTTTTGTTTCCGCTTTGGCCCCATCGTCTCAGGTCTGAGAAACAAGAGTTCCGTTACTGGCAGAAACGTTGGTCTTCTTCGGAGCCTGAGTTGCGTATGGTGGATGGAGTGAATCTGATTTTTCATAGCCATGTTGGGGATCATGATGGAGGAAAAAAAACACAGTTATTGAGTCGGTATACTGGGAGTAATAATAGGCATATATAGCTTGACGATGGATAATGGGTATGTCTGAAAATGGTTCGTATACAACCATGTTTTTTGGGCTCTTCTAATAGTCACGATGATGATAAACCATCTATGTTTGGGGTCCGGTACTTGCAGATAAACCCTATGTGCAGCCATGACAATTTGGCAAATCTCTCATTTAATTTGATGTTGTTCCCATTAAACAACATATATTCATTGTATTGGGCCAGCTATGCTTGATTACTGGCGGATATTTCTTTTTTGGAGGCTATCTACAGTTGACCATGAAACATACCCTCTGGTAAACGTTTACATAACTATGGACAATCACCATGCTATTAATGGGGAATCTCACTATTTCTATGGCCATTTTCAATAGCTTTTTGTATGTTTACCAGAGGGTATATCCATCATATATCCTCAGAAATCCCATTGAATCCCATTGAATCACCATTGAATCCCATTAAACATATGTTTATACCTCTACTAGCCAGATCATGTCAGTTGCATTTGCATGCCCGATGGATGATGTTTGTCTCTGTCAGCAGTCAGGGGAATCAACAGACACTGCAAGTTACCCGGCCTGGTAAACATACAAAAGCTATGGAAAATCACTATTTGAATAGGTAAATCACCTATTTCTATGGTCCATTTTCCATAGCTATGTTAGTTTATCAGAGGGTACATATTTGTTCAGGGCTGAGATTTGCCAAGCAGTAGTGGTCATACAAAATTGCTCCCGTGGGATTTTGCAACCCACCCAATCAGGCTAAAGGGGGAAAACCCTGTGGCAATTTAAGCGTTTATTAATGTTCATTATGGAACATCACCATGTTTTAATAGTCAGTCATCTATAGAATCTATAGTAACCTGTACAGATAGTTAATATCACCACATTATATTATAATATAAACTTGAACCACGTTTCAAAAAACATGCTTCAGTAAACTTCAAATTCCCAGACCCAAACTACCAAACCCATACCACCACATGTTTGCACATGTTGATATATGGTAAGTCCCCCATAGCACCAATTTGCTTTTCCATATCAATCAATGGGAATTCCAGGATCCTAAAATGGAGGTACTGTACCATATAAGGCCATATTTTGTGGGGATATTCCTTTCATAGGCCTTATATAGGCCTTATATATGGTAGGTACCTTCAATTTAGGTTCCTGAAATGGCCATTGATATCAACCTGCACCGAGAAAATTACCAGGAGAAGAAGATGCCGGAGTTTTCGCAGGAGGACCACGGGTCTGCCACAAAGGTCAGGTCCAAGGATTTTTCACTGCTGTGAAGAAAAACCATGAGTCAGATAGATATTTAATATGGGAATAAACAATTAGATAAATATAGGGAGAATGGGATAGACTTAGAATAATAGTGGGATAATAAATATGAATCCCTATATTATCCCTATATATATATATTGGAAGAATAGTGGGATAATATAGGGATAATGGGATAATATTCGCTATCACTATTATTTCCCATAGGATTTAATGGGATATAATATGATGGTATACCCTCTGGTAAACTAACAGTCATATATTATATCACTAAGGATTTATATAGGATTATATTGGCATATAGGTTTATATATTGGAATATATGAATATATAAATGAGATAAAATATATGGATATGGAATATATGGAATATATGGCATATATGGAATATATGATATATATATATATATATGGAATATATGGAATATATGGATACACCCTCTGGTAATTTGTTACAGTTTTCTATTGAAGCCATGGCCCATAGAAATAGTTGATTTACCTACTAAAGATTGTGATGTTCTAGTTCGCTATGTAGCTGGTGCCTTAAAAAAAATGTTTCTTGGAGCTCCTGGAGTTCTATTCTCAAGTCATTGTTCATGGAGTCGGTGCCCATTCAGAAATGCCACTCTGAATATGCGAAAAGTATGGGGTGTTTTACTGGGCCATGGCATGACATGGATTTTATATCATTTATATCCATATATTCCAATATATAAGCCTATATGCCATATAATCCTATATATTCTATTTATATATATACGGAATATATGGATATCACAATATCCCAGGTAGTGACAAGAGGCTCATGAATCATGAACCAGTTGCAGATCCATTTTGTTATTATGTTTGAGGGATACCAATTTTGGCAACCATTAAGAGAAGAAGATCACTCTACCAAGTCACAATTTCCCAAATTTGGTGCAGAAAATTGAGAGGACACCTATGCATTAGAGGCTTACCCTCTGGTAAACATTCACAGTTTGCTATTGAAGCCATGGCCCAGTCGAAAAAGTGAGTTTTCCCATTAATAGCATGGTGATTTTCCAGTTCGTTATGTAAACGTTTACCAGAGGATATATAGTTATGTGGAAAATCACCATGTTTTTTATGGGAATCCCCACTATTTCTATGGCCATTTTCAATAGCTATGTAGCAGTCATTACCAGGCCGGGTAAAAACATGGAAAATCCAAACCAGATATTCGCCATTAACAAGTCGATCCAGTGCTGACATGTGAAAAAGTCATTGCTTTTTGATATACTGTACCTAGTGGGTCCCATTTATAGCTGATTTACCTATTAAAAATGGTGATTTAATGGGATTTAATGGGATTTATTAGGAGATATGATGGTATACCCTCTGGTAATTTGCTACATAGCTATTGAACATGGCCATTTTTAGTGAGGATTCCATTAACATGGTGATTTTCCACATAACTATATACCCTCTGGTAAACGTTTACATAACTATGGAAAATCACGATGCTATTAATGGGTAAATCAACTATTTCGACTGGGCCATGGCTTCAATAGCAAGCTGTGAATGTTTACCAGAGGGTACCTGAGAGAAATAGAAACCAC